TTGAGCCGAAATCAAGAGGGTGATGTTTAACCGACTGAGCCACCTAGGCCCCCCCAACAGATATAAATTTTTAAAGTAGTAAAGTGCTCAATTCAGCATGTGGAACATTTCTTTCTATTTGCCCGATACTCTCTTTTTACAGTGAGTGCTTTTTCCGCCTTGTATAATACAAAAAAGAAATTGTTAACTGCTCGAGGTCATGACGTTATTGTCCTGTGCTTTTAGAAACTTTGACTCTAGGTTTTATGTTTAGGTCTAAGATCCAACTCAAATTACTTTTCGTTTATGGAGTAAGATATAGGGATGAAGGTTCATTTCTTTTACCATATGGATACCCAATTGCTGGAGCACCATTTGTTAAAACAGCCTTCCTTTCCCTATCCAGTTGACTTGGTACCTTGATTGAACATTCATCGATTATGTATATGTGGATCTATTTTAGGAATCTATTTTTCTATACTAACTCCCATACCACACTGCATTCATTACTGTAGCCTTATAGTTAGTCTTGAAATCAGGTATGTAAGTACTCCAGATTTTGGGGATTCTTCTGTTCTGGATTTTTTTGCCTCTCTGTATACATTTTAGAATAAACCTGCATTTTTTTTTTTTTCAGAAGGGGCTGCTCAGATTTTGACTGCATAGACTCTAGAGGTTGACTTGGGGACAATGGATTTCGTAACAACACTGAGATTTCCAATACTTCAACATGGTTTCTCTCTCCCTTTATTAGGTCCTGTTAAATGTATCTCAGCAGTGATTTGTGGTTGTCAGTATAGAAGCCTTAGATAATATCTACTGGCAGATTTATTCCTACTTATTTTACAGTTTATATTACTTATGTAAATCGTATAATTTTTTGAAATTAGTTTTTTTCAGTTCTCTGTGGCCAGAATATAGAATCACAATTTATTTTGTATAATGATTATGTATACTATGGCCTTATAGAATTTACTTATTACTTCTAGTAGGGTCTCTTTGTGTAGAGATTCCTTATGGTTTTGTACATATATATGATCTGCTCAGCATGACAGCGCTGCCTCTTCTTTTCATTTTGTTTTCTCTCTTTATCTCAGGTATTGGCACTGGCTATAATGGAAATGGGGAGAGTGAGTATCCCTGGCTTGTTCCCAATCTCAGGGCAACAGCTTCCAAATACTTCACCATTAAGGATGATGTTAGTTGTGATTTCTCATGAGCGTACATCATCAGATTGAGGAAATTCCCTTTATTCCTCATCTGGTGAGAGTTTTTATCATGGAGGAGTATGGAGTTTTGTCAAGCTTTTTTTTGCATCTATTGAAATAATGACATAATTTCCCCCTATGTTATGTTAATATGGTGAATCACACTGATTTTTAAGTGTGTGATGCAAGTATTTAAACATCCAATTTGAAATAATTTGAGTTTCTCTTATGCTTTCTTTTTGGTCCCATGTGTTCTTTGGAGGTATGTCATTTAATATCCAGATAGCTACAGATATCAATTTCTTTCTTTTTTTTTAAGTAGGCTTTGCACCCAACGTGGGGCTTGAACTCACGACCCTGAGATCAAGAGGCACATGCTCTACCGACTAAGCCAGCCAGGTGCCCCTAGATATCAATTTCTACTATAATGCTTTTTAAGACTTTATATGATTGCACTCTTCCGAAATGTACTGAGACTTATTTTAATGACCCAGCATATGATCTATCTTGGTGACTGTTCCATGCATACTTAAAAGTAATGCTGTATTCTGCAGTTGTTGGGTGTATGTTTTAAGTAAATGTCAATTAGTTCAGATATGTCAGACTCTTCTGATTACTAATTATCTAAATAATTCAGCAATTCAATAAATATCTAAATAATTCAACACCTGGGCGCCTGGGTGGCTCAGTCGGTAAAGTGTCCAACCCTTAGCTCAGGTCTTGATCTCAGGGTCATGAGTTCAAGCCCCACATTGGGCTCCATGCTGGGCATGGAGCTTACTTAAAAAATAATAATAATAATTCAACACTGGTACAGAAAAACTTTAAAAGGTGATCCAGATTTAGACTACCTAAAAAAAAAAAAAAACAAATAAGAAGTGACCCTAATTGTGGGGCTCCCATGTGTCCAGATATTTATATTTAGCCCTGTCACTTGTAGATTTTGTTTCATGTCATAAATGATATTCAGAACCAAAAAAGTTACTCCCGGTATATTAGATTCATTTCAACCCAGTGTACCATCACCCAGACTTCTAATACAAGTCCAAAACCAGGAATTCAAAGGAAATATGTGCATATGATAATAACCTTGTTCACAAAAAAGTCTGTTTTCTTTTTTTGTGATACCTCTTTATAGATAGCTCAGTATTACTTAGGGGGAAAATATACAAGAATACTGGGGCTTATTTCAAAATCCAGAAATTTTATGTATTAAGGGTTTGGTTAATAGAAAGAAATATCAGATTAGCACTCATTGCTTCATACTACCTTCATACATTAAGCCTTGGACATAGACACGGGTGTGTGTGTGTGTGTGTGTGTGTGTGTGTGTGTGTGTGCGCGTAGCTGAAAGCCACCATAAGGAAATAATGTGCTCTTAGAACTAGGTGAAAACACACTGGTAAAACACTCTTAGACATTAAGGCTGGTACCTTAAAAGCATATCATCAGTATTTAGTTCTGAAGGATCTCTTACAAGACACCACAGTATCTGAAACTCTCTTCCATACCTATCAACCTTGCAGGGAAAAGTTTAACATGTTTTACAAATCTTTCTTCATTAATTTAAAACCGTTAAAGGAAAATATTAAATCCTAGCAAACATAACAGGCTTGCAGCTCTGTTTCTAAGCGCAGAGAGGTTCTTACCCTATGTCAACTGCATCCTTGGTGGAGCTTTAAAAATTTTAGCCTTCAAACAAATAGTATACAGTCTGCTCATATTATACCTGTAACTTTGGCATTCCGAAACCTATAGTCACCGATTAAAATCTGCGCAGTGTTTCCTGGAATCAGACCTTCTTTTCTGCTGTTTAGATTTTTCACCAACCTAAATAATAAATGAATTAGTAGCCAACAATGGTAATATACAGTAATAAAAAACAAATACATCGCATTGCAGTTCAAATTTTCACAAAGCTATTGCATGTATTCAACGACTTTCATGACATTGTGCTTGAGTCCTTTGAGTAACCTACAAAGGACTTAGGTTATTAGCAAAAATGGTTATTACTTTAATGATCCGTCATTACTTTTCACCCTTGTGTGTACTCTTCCACCTTTAGGGTCAAAGTACACAGTCAATGTAGCATTTCAGTTAAAGTTATTGACACAATGGAGACAGAACTATTTCACATAAAAGTTCCAAAAGATTTATGGAAGCTTCATTCAGTCCTCTTCCAAACAGTATTTCCTTCCTGCTCTGGGTTCATTATAATTACACAGTATATTTGGCAGAACCATCTTTGCAACTGGTGCCATATGAAGTCGAATGCATCAGAATAGAATGGTAAGACTAAAAAGTCAATATTTGAATTGATAAAGAGAAGGGTGGCTATGTTGTAGAGTAGCAAAGCAGGGTTCCTGGTAATAGTGAGCATTCATTAAAAACGTGATGAATTAATGAATGACTTAAATGACCAAATGTAGTATGATCTGTAGCCATTACAAAGCCAGATCTATCAGCTGAAATGTCTGAGCCAAAGGTAAACCACAAAAGAGCATGCAGACCCATAGCATTTCATTCTTTCAAAGCATTTTTCACTCACCAAAGGTTAACATTCCTTTCAGTGAGCTATATAGGCATAGCTGAAGCAATGAAAATGAAACACTGATAAGAAATGTGATATTTCTGCTTCTTGAGACTGTATAACAAAGATACAAGTAAAGCAGAACATCTGATTAGATATCCGTGTGCCCCCAGCCGAGGTCATCATAAGCACTGAGAACACACCTACCATTGACCTGCAGCATCTTCATGGAGAAACTGAATGACATCTCCATTTCTAATCAGGAGGTCTTCTGGGTCCCTCTTCCTACAATCTGCTAGGGCTTTGTATTTGCCTGGAGACTGGAAGGTTGTTTCGAGAAATTACATTACAAATTTGCTTGTAAAACAGCTTGCATTAACTGCATGCTCTGTGACATAAAGAATGCACTCTTTACTTCCGTGGTAATAGGGGTGGTTACAGCAGCTTAGGGAGGAATGAGCAAACACGGAGCAGAACATGTGTTTAACCTGAAGAATTCATTTTTATTCGCAAAAAGAGAATTACACAAAAAATAAGAGCATGACTAATTTAACTGATATGAATTATAAGCATAAACTCAGAAAAAGCCCAGCATAAAAATAATTTTTAAGTACTGTTATTTGTAAACTACACCCATGGAAAATTTATCTAGGCACATATTAAAGGCAGCGGCCCTGAACAAAGACCCACTAATGCCCTCAAAAGGATTTCTGGGATTTGTATCATTTTGCACAGGTAAAAATAATAAGCATGAAAACTCTGGGTGCAATAAAAGCATATTAAACCATACTGTTGTGCTTTACTTGGCCTTAATCTTTTGGCAGCTATAATTTGAACTTGATTTATTACTAAGCTAAATTACCCAAGACACACTGATTGCACTTCGTTACAAAGTAGATAGAGAAGAAATAATTTTAAAGTCCAAAAACACTTTTTAAAAATATTTTATTTTTAAGACATCTCTACACCCAGTGGGGCTCAAACTCACAACCCTGAGATCAAGGGTCGCACGCTCCCCCGACTGAGCCAGCCAGGTGCCCCAAGTCCAAAAGTATTCTGAGATGAGGATTTTTCTAGCACAATATCTTACACATTGAATACGTGAATTTAAAAGGAGTACCATGGCTAAAAATCTTTTAAATGAAGGAATTATGTGGCGTTGATTCTGTGCACATGCAAAGGAGTTAACCTGAAAACAATATCCACATCACCTGGGCTTAAACGTCTTTTGAGAAGTACTTTTATCAAATGGGCTGAGGAGCAGGCAGGGAAGAGCTACCTGCCATTTCACAGAATAGCTTCATCGAATTAGGAGCCATCTCTGACACAGGCCTCTCCAAGGAAGGCAGCACCCATTCTTTCTTAGTTTTTGCCTTGATAAAGTGAGGCTAAGAGAGCATCTCATTCCAACTTGTTTTGCTTTTTGGCTTTGGGGATATTGGGGGGAGGCGTGGTATAGGTGGTAGGATCTAGAATGCACTGTATTGCTCTTTTGTATGTTTTCTTTAGTAGCACAAGTCAGGGAGTGATGGCGAGAAGAGAGAGCTTATGGGGTTTTCTACATTCCCATCCCCGAGGATTAAAGTAGTCATCAACTCTGCATATTTGCTTTATTTTCTGACACCCGAGCTGGGAACATGCTGACTCAAGACCTGGCAGAAAACATTTAAACCCAAACTGGTTTCCTCTGATTTTCTGCTTGCATCTGAACAAGTGCCTCTCCCATCTTCAGACAGAATTCATGAGGGAAACTACCCTACACGTACATATTACGCTCACTGTATTATTAAGAAAAAGAGTATTCTGGGTGCCTTGGTGGCTCAGTTGGTTAAGCAACTGCCTTCGGCTCAGGTCATGATCCTGGAGTCCCGGGATCGAGTCCCGCATCAGGCTCCCTGCTGAGCAGGGAGTCTGCTTCTCCCTCTGACCCTCCCCCCCTCTCATGCTCTATCTCATTCTCTCTCTCAAATAAATAAATAAATATTAAAAAAAGAGAGAAAGAGTATTCTGTTACTTTTTTAAAGAAAGCATTCCAGAGTCGATGCTACTACGCAGCTTTGCCACTCCCCAAGCCATTACTCCCTTACGCCAACATTAGAGCTGCCAAACTGAATGTGTTCCTCTGACGGGCACCAAGGAGCAGTCTGCTACAAAGCAGCATCCCACCCTCCGAGCTGCTGACTTCAGGAAATTGTAGGTATACCCTAAACGGTCCTAACCCCCCCCCACAAAAATCTACTAGGATCCTAACCACACTGCACACTATTTCTTCTATCAGTTACCTTTACTCTAAAGCAAACTCCTTTAGTTTTATGGGGTGCTCCCTTGCTCTGTTAGGCCGATTTGGTATCCCTAACACGTATTTTAGCAGCCCACGAAAATATATTCCCCAGATGTTCTCAGGTAGTTTCATACGTGTCAAATTTATTCCCTAGATTTGCCAATCTGGCATCTAAGCTGATTTTTAAAGTATATCTGACTCTCCTTCGTTCTGATTTTATCTCCTATGCTTAGATTGAAAACACAGTGGTCAAGTTCAGCTAAAGATAAAAGTGGTCGATATACAGAGACTGGAATGATGGACAATTTGTCTCATCAACTTCAGGAGGAGCGCCACGTGCTCTTGCAGACAGAAGTGCTTACTACTGAGTGTTCGTGGTAAGACTGGTTTCGAATGTTTTGGCGATGAAATCTACCTAAATGACCTCGAGGACACGGACAGAAGATTGCCCCCAGATGGCCTGTCTATTGCATCAGTAATACTGCCCTGAGAGTTTTTATTTCTTTATTTGAATATGTCATCACTGACCATTAGGGGCCTTTCTTCTTCATTGTCATCGTAAGAAGTGTAGAAATAGTTGCTTGACCATTCCTCGGGGTCTTCAGAGATTTCTGCAGGTGAGGACACCTGGGTCCAAACTATAAGAAAAATGTGGAAGGGGGCAGTTACTTAATGATGCTGGTCCAACACAGGGAGAGAAGTAAAACTAACTATAATAATCAAGGCTGTCACCTTCAATGGTCCAAGAATATTATCTTTATATAATAAAACCTCTGATTAGCCTGTACTATTTTAGAATTTCTGAAATTTCAGAAAGGGCCTGGAATGTCATATACTCCTTTTACTTTTTGGGATGGTTTCAAGTTGGAGTTGGTGGGAGTTATCAAAAATAATAAGTTAAACAATATTCCAGAGAATATTTACCGTTTCTTACAGAAAATAATCCCTTTTCCCAAATTTTTCTAGGGCATTTTTATCGGTCCTACTCAAATAGCACTTAGAACATCCTACCTAGTAATATTATTATTTTTAACTTGTCTTATCTCTCTTATTAGGCAGAGACCATGCGTTATGCATTGTATCTTCTCTAAGAGCCTTCTGTGTAAGAGGTACTTAATTCATACAATACATTGAATTGACACAGATTAAGCAACCTAACATAGGCAGAGAATTAACAGAATCTCATCTTGGCCATACTAAACCATTCATGTTGCCTTGGAAAAGTCATGTCAACTTTTTCTGATTTGGTTTCCTCATCTGTCAAATGAAGGTATTGGTACCAGGCTCTCTGCTGACAGCTCAGGGGGCCACCACACAGATGACCCAAGGGCAGTGGCTTTCAGTCGACCAAGATTGTCATTACTTGTTTCTCTTCAATGAGTAGAGAACCCCTCCAGACTCAGGACCGCCATATCTGAGCATCGAGTATCAGGCATCTGTTGAGCATTTCCGGTAAGCATTTCTCTAGGAAAGTCTATGCTGTTGACCCCAGGGTTGTGCAGGTGATCCTGTCTCTGTTATAACACTGATCACATTTAATTTTAATTGCTTGCTGAATTCTCTTTCTCCCCTCCTGGCTTCGTAGGGATGGCAGCTGAGTGTCTCTTAATTAGACTGTATGCCCAAAGCTCTGCACAATTCCCAGCACCTGGGCTGTGTTCTATTTGTTGAATTAAACACCTTGTTTGAAATCAGCTTAAATGAGATAAGGAGCAAAAGAAAAATAAATATTCCAGCTGTAAATGACTCTTCTCTATTCATGACAGCTATGGTGTATGTGTCTTGTACATCTCTGCACTATACAGCAGGGGTTCCCCCACACTTGACCATGCATCAGAAAGAACCACATGGAAAATGTGTGAAATCACAAATGGCGGGGCCCCACTCCCAGAGTTTCTGTCTCAGGTCTGGGGCCGACCCAGAAAATCTGCCTTCCTTACAAGTCCCCACGTGATGCCGACACTACTGATCAACCACCCCCCCACCCGCCGCCTGTAGTGCCCACCAGAGTATCTTGCATGTGGAAAACAAAAGAGCCTTATAAAAATGGCTTCGCTCTGGTTTCTTTATACAAAGGTAAGAGAGAGGTAGATTTCCAGAGCTAACAATGGCAGAAAACAACGTGCATAGCCATGAGCCTCGCCTCCCTGGGGAGATTACGCATACCTGTGTTAGCTTCAGCTGGAACCGATGCACCTGCCTCCCGGACTTCCACCAGAGCGCCACTGGGTTCCGGCTCGGTTTCCTCGGCACCCAGAAAAGATCCATGCTGCCTTCTGAAATAGTAAATGTGTAAAAATAAGTGAGCTTTTATCCAGTTTAAGATAACAAGACATTAAAAATGGTATTTTTTCCCACTGATACCGTATGTTAGGAACATGCTCTGAGAATCATTCAAACACAGCTGATTTCCCCCCTTAATTTAAGTCTGTAGAATGACAGTTCACAATATAACAAAAGTTTACATTTTAGGCTCCAAGCCAGCAAGGTCTCTCTTTAATATGCGAGGAAAAAATGCCTTCTGGACCCACGGCAGGTATATTGTTTAAAATTCCTATTGTGTGTTGTATTATATACCTGAAATTTGCTAAGGGGTAGATCTTTTTTATTAATTATTCTATTGTTTATTGTTGTTAGCCTTTGCTTTTATTTTTTTTTAAGAGGTAGATCTTAAGTGGTCTCACCACACACACACACACACACACACACACACACACACACACAGAGGATGGTTGGGCTTAATTATTCATAATGCATATGTATATCAAATCAAGTTTTACTCTTTAAAGATATACATGTTTTAAGTGTCAACTATAATTCAATACAGTTGGAAAAATGTAAACAAAAAAATCCCATAAAAAGAGGAATGTATTGGTTCATGTAACTGAATGTCTAAGGATTAATGCTGAACACATAGGGATCCAGGTGCTTAAGTAATGTCATCAGGAATTTGGTTCAGCATTGCTTTTCCTCTCTGTAGGTTCTCAACCCTGCTTCCCTGTTCCCCCAGTCACATGTGGAAGGAGAAATGGCCCTAAGCTCAGAGGCTTAATAGAACTTTTCATTTCAAAGAACAAAACCTCCTTCCTGATAGCTCCGATAAAAGTTGTGGCGATGCCCATCACAGCCTAAGTCGGACTACACGTCCATCCCTGAACTAGGAGAAGATAATAGTCTGATTGGTCATCTGAGCTATATGGACTGAATAGAGCAGAGAAGGTTCTTGAAGGGAAAATCAGAAAGCTATAAAAAAAAAAATCCCTGTTGCTTGCTGTATGATCTTTTAACCTCAGTGAATTAGGTAAGGTGTATATAAATGTCACTGAAACCTTAATCTGATTAATACTGTTGGGCTGTATCACCTACTGTAAAGTCAATTACTATATGAAATCTAAAGATTTTCCTTCCATAATCTATGACAGAAGATTGAGTATTGTGACTCTGGAAGATAAAGACTTCCACTGTGACTTTTAAATGATTTTTCTAAAGCCCCAGATGGGACCAGCACACTTTGATCCTGATTTTTAGCTACCTTTGAAAGATAATATGCAACAAAGAGAAGAAGAGTATTTTTATTTTATTTTAAAATTTTTTAAAGATTTTATTTATTTATTTGAGAGAGAGAGAAAGAGTGAGAGAGAGAGAGAGAGAGAGCACAAGCTGGGGGTAGGGGCAGAGGGAGAGGGAGAAGGAGACTCCCCGCTGAGCAGGGAGCCCGACTCAGGGCTCAATCCCAGGAGCCCGGGATCATGACCTGAGCCAAAGGCAGACACTTAACTGACTGAGCCACCCAGGCACCCCTTTATTCTAATTTTTTAAGAGTATTTTGGGGGTCACCTGGTGGCTCAGTTGGTTAAGCTTCCGACTCTTGATTTCGAGTCAGGTCATGATCTCGGGGTCATGATCAATGATCCCTATATCATGCAGATGCTGCACGGTGAATTTCTGTGCAAAGGCTTTGGAATCAGTGTGGGGATTCTTTCTGCACATATGCACATGATCTATGGGCAACTCCGTCTTTTAGGGTTCCTAGAGGCAGAATAGGAAGACATCTCTAGACCAGCAGCAGTGCTATCATTCAGGCCCGCTACCTTCCTCAAAGATTTCACGGTTGTATGCAGGCACAGTGCCCTCCCAGGATCCATACCTTCTCTCTGACCACATAGAAAGAGAGGCCAAGCTGCCAGCCAGCGGTCTCCATCTAGGGACAGTGGAGCTGTGGGGCCAGCAGTGACTGCCAGTCCTTCATCACTCGTACCACTCTCTTTCTCCAGTCAGATGGGAGGTGACCAAAAATATTTTGAAGAGAAAACCTTGAGTGCAGCCACGTTTCACCTACACGCCCCTCCCCCCAGGCTATACTGAGAACAAAGCATTTGTGATCATGTTTAAAAATTAGCCCAAACTCTCGTAATATTTTTAACATCAAGGGGAACAATGGGAAAACGATTAAGGACTATCAGGCTCCAAGTATACGACAGAGCTGAGAAGATGATGCATTTAAGGAACCTGATGAGTTACTGCTAAAAGGGAGGGCAGTCTGTGTCCGAACTACTTGATAATGACGTTGACTCCTGTACTTACGGAAAACAGAAGATTGCAGGAGTGATATTTCTTAAAGAATAATCACTTACTCATCATTCCGCTGAGAAGAAAGCTGATCCTGTTCTGTTAACGGATTATGTTGCTTTCGTTTTTTAACTGTGAAAGAAAACAAAGCTTCTGGAAGCATCATCATTGAGAAGCCACACTTCTTCCTTGGAAACCAATGTCCTTCACATGTGCAAGTGCATGCACACACACACACACACACACATACACACCATTCCTGTTAACCTTTGCAGGCTTGAAATAACCAGAGGAAAGGGCAGCCTGGATTTCAAGTATGGAAAAGGACTGAACTGTGTAATATTTTATCAAGAAATTCAGGCTTATAACTATAACCATCACCATGCCAACACTACCAAGCACTACTGATTCCTTGAGGTCCTTGGTACAGTCGACTCATAAGAAGGGCTTAGAATTAATTTAACACAGTTTGTTTGCTGTATTATTTTGCAACTGCTTCTCAAGCACCAGGGTTCCCTTTGTAGTGTAAAGTTCAATTTCCAAAATAGTTTAAACAACCCCTTGAATCTTGATCCTCTTCTAATTAGTTTAACAAACCCTTTCGTTATAGTCTAAAGTAAATATCAGCCCCATTCCCTGCACCAATTATCGCAAAAGCTAAGTCAATGAGCTGTCACTGTACTTATTCTGAAATTACCTGTCATAAGTTCCTGTTGCTTCAGCAAAATGCTTCTTATTTCTTTTAACCACGTCATCTTCACGTCTACATTCGGAGCCTAAGGATTTTAAAAGGGGGGGGAGGGGAGGACATGTTTCCTTTGAAAAAGAACCCTTTATAATGAAACAAACGTCACTATGTATATCAAGCATGGTCTACATCCTAAACCACTATATTCAAACTCTGCCATTTTGCTTCTTAAACCTTCTAAGAAGCAAGTAAGTAGCCATCGGTTAGATGAAATAATAGTCAAAACCATTTCGAAACTGCCCTTAAAAAATACTGCTCAGAGAAAAAGTGAAATATAATCTAACTTCTTTTTCCTTTGTAGGAGGGTCCCTTTGTTTTTTTTATTTATTTTATTGGCGGGGTCCTTTTAAAACGATACATGTTTTTTATGTCTCATTTTGGTAAAATAAAACAAGTTCTCCTGTTTCTGAGAAGACAATCTGCTGCAATCCTGATAACTTACAAGGTTGTAGAAGGAGAGCAAGAAGTCTTATATCTAAATCAAGCCAAGAAAATGTGTTTCTATGGATCCTAATCACCTAATACAGAATTATAACAAAGAAAAAACACTGAGCACTTTCAACAGGGTAACAGCACATTCGCCGGCCACAAGTCCTGATACAAATACTTACTGAGATGACATCATCCTCTTGAAATTTTCTCATTCCTCTCCCCTTCCCTGAAACAGGTTGGACCTTACAGCACATCAGGCCAGGACTTTAAGCATATTTTTTTTTTCATCATGATAAGTGCAGTCTCAAGCATATTTTTTAGAGACAAGGATCAAATGTGAACTGTCCCATCCTGTGTCCCACACCAGAATGCCAAGCCCAAGAGGAACCCAGAACCATTCTCAATCGGTAACTCTAGAAACCTGATGGGGACAGAAGAGCCGTGTTCTTGACTATCAGCTAGAGTCGATAAGTATCCTGGTGCAGTTGTAAAACCTCAAAGCCCTAGACAGCCCCAGAGGCACTTCTCAAGTCAGAGAGAACATGTGCTACTGGAAAACTGTGTAACTGCCTCACAAAGATTAATAAATAATCTTTAAGTGATCTAGATGAAAGGAATGAGAATTTTATAATAACGTAACTAGCATTGTTTTTGTTTGCAAATTCAGACTTTTGTGTCTTAACACAGGTTATGGTTTCTATGGTTTCTAGAATAATATTTCAGTGACCAACCTGGACAATATAAACTTCTTCCTTGCCAGCATACCAGATTTCAAACTTGCGGTTATCACCTTTTACATATTCGGTGATGCCAACTTCATCCATCTGTAATATTTTGGTCAAAATTCTCATGAGCGTTTTACTTGGAATATGAAATTACATTAAATCTACCCCCCCATCATCTTCTAAGTGAACCAGAATTTCTCACTTAGCAAAATACACACTTTATATTCAAGAATATGAAATGATAAATACAATCACAGCTCTACTTAAATGTTTTCACTGAACCATACACTTGTAGCAGAGACTACATGCTCCATTCCAGTGATCGAAACAAATGTCATAAATCTGAACATCCAACTAGTCCCCCTAAGATTGAATCCTACTATAAATTAACTGCACACAATTAAAACAAATTATCATGTCAAACACAGGACTAAAATTAAACATCAATAAAAAAGCTCATCCAAAATTAAGTTAAATGGTTACTTTTAAAAATCATTTGTCAGATAAATTTATCTTACAGATCATTACTTATCTCTATAGAAGTTTTATAAGTGACAAACATCCAATTTATGGGGTGGGGGAAAACCAGCTGGGTACACAAGGCTCCCCTCTATTTCTACCAACCTCTCAGCTTCTCTAGAAAACAAATGATCTTCTTGTAGCCAGTGAAATTTTTATATGCAATATCCCTTCCTTACCACGAGTTTTCTTCTCCATATGACTGTGCAGAGCACAAACTCTTCCATTTTCTTTCGTCCTGTGCTGCTAATAGCTTGGTTAATTCCATTTTGAGCAATTTCCTTCCCTCATATACACATCCTCTTTTAGTCCTCTTCTGCCTCCTCTTTTTGTTCAATTCCAGTCTATTTACCTAAAGGAATATCTCACTCTCTGTTCCACTTACAAGCCCTCCAAACGGCCCTAACTAGAGCTGATAAGCATTAACAGTATTGCTAGTGAGGTCTCATAGCCAGGGAAAGAAAAGGGATTGTGCTTAAAAATGAAAGGAGATCTACACATACAAGAGTCTCTGACACCTATCCTGAATGTAATCAGCAGTGACTTCCAGAATCTCCAGAAATATCTTCATATTCCTACTCAACTGCTCTAGCTAAACCTACTTTTGCTCCAGCATCAGGATTTGAGATAAATAATAACCTCATGTTCAATCTCTATTTCAACTGCGTTTCAACACACACTTTTCTCTTGGTAGCATAAGATGGATAGTGTGCAGGGCCCTGGAGTCTGAGAGGCCTGGGTTGGAACTTCATCACTGACCATTAGGAGCTCTGTGTTCTGGTGCAGAGTGCTTAACCTTTTGGAACTACGGTTTTCTCAACTATAAAATGGGAAGAATACCTACTTCACAGAGTTTATTAAGGGATTAAATAGCTTGCATTAAATGCCTAGATCATATAATGAGCTTTTTGAAGTATATGAGTTTGCTTTCTAAACTTTCCCTTATTTGAATTGCAAAACAGTTTTGTGATTTTTTTATTGCATACATAGAGCACATCATTATAGATTAAATGAGTTTTTTTGAGTTACCCTGGAAATCTAACCATGATGTCTATCAGACAATACTGTCCTGAGTTCCAAATAATTCACTTGCTTCTTCCACTGGAATACAGTCCATTTGTATTTTGTGGATGTATATATTTTCTCAAGTAACAGACTATAAAGGTTTTACTGAAAGGCTTTTAAATGTTATTAAATGTGACTATACCATGAAATGTTCACTATACCATGAAATTCACTCAGTTTTAGAATCTAGAGGCAGTTAAAGGTCTAACTATATGAGTATAGTTATATAATATACTATATAACACATTATAATAAAATAGCAAGATAACAAGGCTGATTCTATAGTCACATCCTAATTGTGGCCTCTGCCTTATCTTTCACATTTTCATTGATATTCCTGGTAGCTATGAATATAAATGCTTTATTATAAAGCATTTGATCTGAAGACATCTCACTGTGTCAAAGGTTGAGGGCTCCAACTTTTAACCTAACTTTTTGTCCTCAAGGTAGTGTAAAGATGTCAAACACCTTGTTAAAAGTCACCCAGTGGGTCAAGAACTCTGTGATTATGACCAACAACTACCAATCTTAAGACTTTTATTTCTATCTCTGGAATAGAGTTTATTTATTTCTTGGGTTAGTATAATTTTAAAAATTGATCTTGAATCACATTAACAAGAAATATAGCTAAACTTAAGTGCTACGAAGCAGTTAGAAGCAAGATACTGGGTATAAACCAGTCACGTGGCTATATCTTAAGAACAGTTTCTGAGACCAGAAAGAGTAGAAAGAAAAAGAGGATCATACTAGAATATAATTTATGATAATTAAACTAGATGTACACAGAATATTCATATGCATTTAACAAAAACACACAAACTGAAGGGCATACATCAAATAAATTAGAATCGTTGCTAGAGGGGTAGAGAGGAAATTAAGTGTGGAAAATAAGGAATGAAGGAAGGAGTAAAAGAAGGAATGAACACAACACAAGGCCTTTCAGCAGGGTGCAGTAATTGAGGGCATGGACTCTAGAACCATCATCCTGGGTTTGAATCTGTGCTGCGCAGCTTACTAGCTATGTGCTCTTGGACAAATTACTCACTTCTCTGGAACTTGGCTTTCCCATCTTCAAAATGGGGTTAGTAATAGTTCCTACTTCATATAAAGTTGCTATGTGGGTTAAATGAGTTAACATTGCTATTTATAAACACTTAGAAGAGTTTCTAGCAAATAGTAAGCACTGTGTGTATGTTTACTAAGTTAAAAAAAAAGACGATCATAAATGCATGAACTGAGGAATCCAAGGAACTCAAATCTTGGCATTTGACTGTGACCTTAGGGCCTTTCCTTGGCATAGAAGTGGCCGACTTAAAATACAGCACGCAATTATCAGGCCATGGGGTTCTAGCCTGATAGGATGAAGTCAAGACAAGAGACCACTAAAAGGGACAAGGAAGCGTCTCAGCAGTGGGGAGCATTCTGCATCCATCCTCTCTACCCAGGAGAAAACTCTGAAACCAGTAACCCTGATGGTTATGTCACACACTGACTAGTATTGCTTAAGAAGTCACCAAACTTCCATCTTTCTCTGTCAGCGTAATCACCATTTTCCTAGTATACCTGGTCTAAATCTTCACAGGCATCACTGAATACTCTTTTTTTTTAAGATTTTTTATTTTTTATTAGAGAGAGAGAGAGTACAAGCAGGGGGAGCAGCAGGTAGAGGGAGAGGGAGAAGCAGACTCCCTGTGGGACTCGATCCCAGGACCCCGCTTAACCATCTGAGCCACCCAGGCGCCCCCTGAATAATCTTTTTTATTAAAAATGCTAGGCGTGGGTCGGGGGTGGGAGGGATGGGGTGGCTGGGTGATAGACATTGGGGAGGGTATGTGCTACGGTGAGCGCTGTGAATTGTGCAAGACTGTTGAATCACAGATCTGTACTTCTGAAACAAATAACGCAACATATTTTAAGAAAAAAGGAAAAGAAGAAGATAGCAGGAGAGGAAGAATGAAGGGGAGTAAGTCAGAGGGGGAGACGAACCAGGAGAGATGATGGACTCTGAAAAACAAACTGAGGTTTCTGGAGGGGAGGAGGGTGGGGGGATGGGTTAGCCTGGTGATGGGTATTGAGGAGGGCACATTCTGCATGGAGCACTGGGTGTTATGCACAAACAATGAATCATGGAACACTACACCAAAACAAATTATGTAATATATGGTGATTAACATAACAATAAAAAAATTTTTAAAAATGCTAGGCGTGGGGCACCTGGGTGGCTCAGGTCATGATCTCAGGGTCCTGGGATCGAGTCCCTACATCGGGCTCCCTGTTCAGCATGGAGTCTGCTTCTCCCTCTCCCTTTGCTAACCCCCCGCCCCGGCTCATGCACGCTGTCAAATAAATAAATAAAATCTTTTTTTTAAGATTTTATTCATTTATTCATGAGAGAGAGAGAGAGAGAGAGAGAGAGAGAGGCAGAGGGAGAAGCAGGCTCCCAAGGAGCAGGGAGCCCGATGCGGGACTCGATCCCAGGACCCCGGGATCATGACCCGAGCCAAAGGCAGACGCCCGACCATCTGAGCCACCCAGGTGCCCAATAAATAAAATCTTTAAAAAAAAAAAAAAAAAAGCTAGGCATTTTCGGGAAACCAAAGAAAAATCACACTGATTTTTGTTCCTTCAACTGTCAGGTATTATTTCTTTCCTGTATCTAGTAAGTCACCAAGCCCATCTGTCCACCTTCCACTGAAATGTGTCTTGCAACTATCCCACCGTTACCATGGTAACCATTATAGTTTGAATTCTCATGACTTAGTTCCCTCATTCCAGTCCCTCCTTACTCTAATGTACTTTAGAAACATTCTGTTGCCCATAATTGTGACAAATTAAAGGTAAAAAAAAAATCAATACACACTGGAGATACCACATCTGGTATTGACTAGGTCACTCCACAAATACGAAGTTAATCAAATGCATTTGGGTCCAACATGCCTATGGAGGTCCAGTCTCTTCCCCAGAAATAGATATATAGACAGCAAGAGATCTAAACCCCAGCTGAGGTCAACTATAAAATCTTGGTTCTCTGTCAATGTTTATTAGAGACATAAAATAGACCAATGGAGATTTTGGGGATGTGGAGGTGGGTTGCTAATAGCAAAGGAGCAACTGGGCATCTGTTGTAAAAACAGCAAGTTTTAAGGAAACGTGACAGCAGGGCAAGTGGACAGTAGGAAGAAGTCTGAGACATAACTCTGGGCAGGAACTTTGTTACGAACAGCACGGGACTGTTGACCTTCTGGGGAGAATCAAAAGCAGGGCCTGCCTATCTGGTAGACTCCTGACAAAAACACCTCAGGATACATTACTAGTCCTCTTTATCACTGCTGCTGAAAACGTCATCAATTCGCAAATGGCTGCCAACAATGAAAGAACATGCTCATAAAAAATGACTCAAGCGATGGTGGTTGGAGAATCGAGGCAATAGTTTTCTCTATGTTCCAATTTTTCTATAACCAATATTATGTTGATTTTATACTTTATTTTTTTTAAGATTTTATTTTTAAGTAATCTCTACACCCAACACGGGGCTCGAACTCACAACCTCAAGATCAAGTCACACACTTCACTGAAGGAGCCAGCCAGGTGGCCCCGGATTTTACAATTTAAAACTTGAAAGATAAAATTAACTAGGTATAAAAAATATCAAATTCACCAACTATAGGTTTGTATGAATTGGAAGTTCCTCTTGTCAAATGTCAAAACCTGCTGGGAACATCACTGGATTGCCAGTGACTCCCTCAAACAACGCTGACCTCATTTTAATACCAAACTAGTATTAGGACAAAAAGAGTTTGGGTTATAGGAGAGAAGTTATAGGAAGGAAGAAGATGTGGGCAGGATTCAGCTGTAAGTGGCTTTGGACACCCAGGAGGGAAAGGGCTAAGGAATGGAGGAGGGCTACAAAAAGAAAGGTGGGAGTATGCTAAGCACAAAAGTTACCCACTTTTAAATTGCGTGGAGAAAAAAGAAGAAACTCCTTCTTCCTCATCTCTCCCGTACAATAAAGGCTCCCTGCTACCAAGACCATCAGCTCTACCCAGTACCACTGGTAAGAGAGTGCTCATGGGAGAACCTGGGTCATTTCCTACAAGTGCCTGGGATTGGAGTGAGAGAGGAAAGGAAGGAGGTAAGGCTCTGCTCTCCCTCACTCTTATTTCCAAAAGTTCTGTGTTACCTGATTTCAACACAAGATGTCTACTTAAGCTTTTGTGGGCTGGAGGCAGATGAAGCAGGTGAAGGGGGTTCAAGGATACACATTTCCAGTTATAAAATAAGTAAGTCCTGGAGATGGAACGCACAGCATGGTGACTTTCGCTAACAATACCCTATTGCATATTTGAAAGTTGCTAAGAGAGTAGATCTTAAAAGCTCTTGTCACAAGAAAAAAAAAATTGTAACTATGTGTGGTGATGGATGTTAACTGGATTTACCGTGGTGATCGTTTTGCAATATATACAAATATCACATCATTATGTTGTACACCTGAAATGAACATAGTGTTGTATGTCAATAATACCCAAATAAAAAGATTTCATTTAAAAAAAGGGGTACACAACTAAAGTATAAAACCCACTCATTTCACTTGCAAAGGTATACAAACTTTATATATATATATATATGAAATAATATTATGTTACACAATTTAAATTGTCTTACTTTCAAACAGTGCTTAAAACTGTATGACGGGTATCTATCAGAGCCTTCTCCACTTTCAACACGCCTCTTACAAAAAACGATGGCTTTTTCATACAAGAAGAGATGCCGCTGCATTGGTTTGAATCTAGCAAAATCCTTCATTTTTGTAGCGCCTTTCTTGTGTCCGATCCAAACACTGAATGCGCCCTGCATTATCATCTTGCCCAGTTCATTTAAGTTTCCCTATGAAGGAAAATCAACACTCATCAGTACAAGGCACCGCTACATTCAGACCTCTGCCATCAACATGATACCATTTAGCTTGAGCCACTAAAACCATGAAATGCAATTTGTACGGGTTTTGCAATTTTATTCCTCATAACTGTTTACATTAACCCATGCCCTGTGTTGCACGGGTACAAAATTACAGTGGAAACAAGAGACAGAAGAAACCTCCTTTTCCCTGGCTTCCGGTCTCCACGTGGACTCTTTCAACCAGGGTAGCTCTGTCCATCTTCTCAATCCTGATTGGCGACTGACATCTACCAGAGCAAGCATCACAACTAGGCAGAGCTTACTCTAAAGACTTGATTTTTTTTTTCTTCCACATTTATCTTAGACTAGGGCAAGCAGCAATTCTGGGACAATACATTTCCTTAGAAGACTCCAACAGTTCCTTCAAGCAGGGTATCTCAAGGCTGGAGTTGGAGGTAGGCTTTTAGGGACAAGGGGATATCACAAATCCATTTGGCTGCTGATCTGAAGCCAGTTCTTCATCCAGCACTGTCAATAATAATGCTGACATTTGGATCTCCATTCTTCTGCCCTTTTTATTTCTCACTTGGTTCCAGGAGACAAAGAAAGACCTCTTAACACGCTTACCCACAAAACTGCAACAAGCATTAAAATTTACTCACAATATAGCCATTTATTGCAATCTGATGCATAGAGTCATTAACTGACTTCAGTAAATCCAGCATTGTGTCAAGTGCCTCCTTTAATTGTTCAAACCCTTGGCAGCCTTTGCTATATTTCAGTAGCTCCTGTAATTAGAAGTCAAGAATTAAACTTAATATCAGGCAGATATTAATAGCTGGAGAAAATGAATACATTTTTGGCTAACATGCTTTCAAGGAGGAATCTAAAGACAGTGTCATTTTGGAATCATATCTTTCATTTGCTATTTGTCACATTAACACTCTATTTTAAAAACTGTGTCAAAATTTGGGAAGAAATGGAATAGTGACTAAACAGTATCAAGTAAAGGGCACTCACTGCTCTTGCAGCTGCAGAAAAACAGCCATTAGGACACACTAGACATTGATTTTTAAAATAATCACACTTTTTTGGCCCTCCAAATGCAACAATTTGTTTTCTTTGTTTTGCACAGACCACAAAACGTGGTGAACATGTATAATATTTGTTTAGTTAATGACGTAAAAGTTCTGCATTCGTTACGCATATACCAATGTAACTTGTGTGGATAATTAAATAGCTAAAAAGACTCTAGAGAGTCTCTGCTTACATCTAGGCATCGGGCACTTGTGCCACAGTGAAGCGAGGAAGCGTACTGTTAACTCCAGCCTTCCCGTTCACTGAGCCTCCCTGCTCCTGGGGCTTCCACACCAGCCACTTCCTTTTTAATGGCTTTGCCACATCTGACCCACAGCAGTAAGTAAAGAAAGAAACAAATGCTTCACATAATTACCTTTAACAGTAACTGATATTTAGTGATTCGTTGCACAGGTTTGAGTAAATACGAATCCAGACCAAGTCTGTGTTTTAATTTTCTTTGACATTCCTGTCATTAAAATATAATTATCAGTAAATTTAAATTAAGACATGTACCTGTGAAAATGCCAAGTGTACACTGATTAGACCCAATGCATGCAGGTTTCTTACATCTCGAGGAAAATCTACCGGGAAAGCCGCTGTTACGGACCGTATGGAAATTATAAGCGGCCATAAACGTAAAAAAAAAAACTACTGTAAACATTATTTCAAGGATTTGAGAGGTAGAAAATGCTAAAATTTCAAATACGAATAAGTTTTTACATAAAATGCACATTGATGTGGAATGCTTGAAAGATGAGAAAACAATGAATGGCCAGAAATGAACATGACTAATGAAACATGACTAAAAATGTATTTAAGAAAATTAACAAAAGGCTCAGCTCCACAGGCCAAGGCCCAGAATATAAATCAAACTGGGTATGAGAGGGAGTTTTTTTTTTTTTTTTTATATCACAAGAAAAATACAGACCTCATCAACTGGTGCTATAGCTCATCTGATTATTGGCTCAATGCCATGATAAATATAAGGGTCGTGACTTTGGGTCCTGGGAACGCTGTAGGGTCCATAATGACAGCAAGATGGGGCTGATTAGGACGAAATGTGCATTTAAGAACTACAGAATGCAAAGGGAGTAGGAGAGGATATACATGTGTAAGATCTGGGACCTGCCTCTGGATATGGATAAAAACCAATATACAATCTAATTCAAACAGTTAGGGGGCGCCTGGCTGGCTCATTCAATGGAGCATACGACTCTTGATCTCAGGATTGTGAGTTTGAGCCCCACGTTGGGTGTAGAGATGACTCAAAAAAATAAATAAATAAAATCTTTAAAAACAATTCAGTTAGCAACTTATGGTTAAAGATGATGGACTGATACATGCCTTTAGCTCTCCTCACTCATGAAGCCCAACTAAAATGATTTTTAAAAGTCATTTTTACAAGACAAAACCCAAAGTTACAAAGATGGGAGAGGAAAAGCCATCAACCAAATCTGGAACCTTGAAACCAAACTGACAGGTGGTAAGCAAGTGAGCACACTAGAGAAGAGTGAATCTCAAGCTGACAGAGGGAAAAGCTAAGGAACAACTAACTCAGTTTCCCCCTCCCTCCACAAAGAGTCCAGAATCACAGACATCAAGTACCCCTGAAAGTGGGAGATGAAGGTGTGTTTGAAATAAATATGGTTGTTGAAAGTCTGTTTAAGAAGTAGATAACTGTGTAAGACTGATGAATCACAGACCTGTACCCCTGAAACAAATAATACATTATATGTTAATTAAAAAAAATAAAAAAAGAAGGAAAAAATAAAATAAAATAGATGTCCAGGAAAAAAAAAAAGAAGTAGATACTGGGGGAGGGGGATAAAAAAGAAGTAGATACTAACAAGTGTTGGTGAGAGCGTGGAGCAATCAGGACCCCCATACCCTACCGGAAGGAATGTAAAATGGCGCAGCAACTTTGGAAAACAATCCAACAGTTCTTCAAAAAGTTAACAGAGAGTTACCAAATGACCCAGCAATTTCATACCCAGGTATATGGCTGAGAGAAATGAAAATATATGTCCACAGAAAAAACTTATACACAAGAAGTGGAAAAGAACCAAATTACCATCAACTGATGAATGGGTACACAGAAGGTCGAATACCCATACAATGGAATGAAGAACTGATACATGCTACAATGTGGATGAACTGCAAAAAAATGATGCTCTGTGAAATCAGTCAAACACAAAAGATCACATATTTTGATTCCATTTATAGGAAAGTTCAGAACAGGCAAATCTAGCAAGATAGAAAGTAGCTTACTAATTGCAGAAGACTGTAGGGGTTGGAGGAATGTCAGAGGTGTTTACTAAAAGGTATGGGTGGGTTTTTTGAGGAGTATGAAATTGTTCTTAAACTGACTGCAGTAATGCTTGCACACCACTGTGGATATAGTAAAACTACTTAATGGCACATTTGGAAAGGGCAAATTATTTGGTATTTTCATTACATCTCAATACAGCTGTTACAAAAAAATTAAATGGGCATAAAAGTATTTTTAAAAAGGAAGAGAAAGGGGGCACTGGGTGGCTCAGTCAGTTAAGCATCCAACTCTTGATTTCAACTCAGGTCATGGTCTCAGGGTCGTGGGATCGAGCCCGCCATCAGGCTCCATGCTCAGTATGGAGTCTGCTGGGAATTCCCTCTCTCTCCCTCCGCACCTCCTCCCCCTGCTCACATGCTCACGCTCTCTCTCTCTCTCAATAAATAAATTAAATAAGTAAATAAATAAATCTTTATAAAACATTTAAAATGGCAAATTAAAAAAAAAAAAAGGTGAGGAAAGAGAAGGCTCTCCGAAAGCCATGCTGCTGTGCACAACAGGATGGATGCCTCTACCTCTGGAGAGCAGAAGAACGGATGTTTATCTGAAAAGAGTAAAATGGAAGGCCTTTGAGCTAGAGAATACCAATCTAGTTGAAGACAGAGTACCATACTGAAAGCAAAGAGATTACTTGACTATTTACGTAGCCTTTTCCCCCAGCTTGGCTACCAGAACACTGACAACCAGATCCTTATTCACCAGGTAGCGAAGTGGGGGCTCTGCTTCTCTCCCTCCGCCCCTCCCCCTGCTCATGCAGGCGCTAGCTCGCTCTCTCTCAAATAAATAAATAAGTCTTTAAAAATAAATAAAATTTTAAAAAATTAAAAATTAAGTGAGTAAAGAAGACAATTGCAAGAAAAACGGAAGGGATGGAAAAGCAACCATCTTATACCACACGATTCATCTGAGCATAGGAATTACATAGTCTTAATAATTTAACACCGTATATCTATATAATTAAACTTATAACCATAGTGGATGTTTTGGAGGAAAAGAAGTACATGTACGGGCGCCTGGGTGGCTCAGTTGGTTAAGTGACTGCCTTCAGCTCAGGTCATGATCCTGGAGTCTCGGGATCGAGTCCCACATCGGGCTCCCTGCTCAGTGGGGAGTCTGCTTCTCCCTCTGACCCTCTTCCCTCTCGTGCTCTCTCTCTCTCATTCTCTCCCTCTCAAATAAATAAATAAAATCTTTAAAAAAAAAAAAAAGAAAGAAAAGAAGTACGTATATGTGTCCAGTGGTGAGGCAGAGGCAGTGAAGAGGGCTAAAGTAGCAATATAAACATGTTTTTTGGAAACATGGAGGTAAATACCAAAGGAAGTAGCTAAAAGAACTGAAAGTGATTGCCTCTGAGAAGCAGCATATATATTTGAGCGCATGTGCGTGCTTTGCAGCAGGGTCAAATTGTTTTTTGATCTGTATTGTATATAACTCAGAGTAGAAAAGGAATTTATAAGAAATACCCCAGTATCTTCCAGAAGGAGTATATCCAATACCTGAATAATTACTGTACCTGGAAAAAGGCGCATTCTGAATACTTCTTCCAAATTGCCTCTGATCTGGGTTTATTCTGACAGTATTTTGCATACATCTGAAAATCATCTTTCTGTGATAAAAAGCAAATTCAAATGTATTATCAATTTGTGAACATGTACTTTTCTTATCAAGAAAGGCTGAACGAGAATGAGTGGGGCCTGAAGGGCCTGCCACACTGGCAGCCGGTTTGTATTCCAAGAAAAGCATGCCCACCAGACTGAGTAGAGGGACACATAATTATCCCAGTAATTCCCTAACTTTCACTTCCCAAGTCTGAGTTAGAGAGAGAAAAACCTTCTCTGAACTATAAAAACAGACGAATTTTTCTCATAATCATGAGCTAACACAGTACAAAGAAACATGCTCTTTCCATGCTACTAGTCTCTCAGTTCCCTAATGAACGAAGCTGGAGCTAACTTCCAAGGTCCTTGGTTCATCACTGGGGTATCATCATCATATTATAACCCCACTAGGCATCTGCCCATGCTATTCTCTCTGCTTGGAATCATCTCTCTCTGACCCTCATCTAATGGGCTACCTCCTACTCACTCTTTAACATCCTTCTCATGAGTCATCTCTTCTAGAAAGCCACCATTAATACCTCCAGTCTGTGTAAGATGCCCCTCTTCTTGGCTCCTACAGGATCCTTTGTATATCCTTGATATAGCACAACTCACACTGAATACAATTATTTTTCCCCCTTTTTCTATGGGAACAGTCTTGGTCTTGCTCTCCACATTGCCTAGCACAGTGCTTGGTGTATAGTAAGCGTTCAGTAGATGGGTACTGAATGAATGAACATTATCAATAGGCATTTATCAAACCAACAGTGGTTGCCAATAACTCTGCTCACCTTATGAGAGATACAAAAATATATAGGATATGGACCTTGCCTCAAAGAGTTTTTCATCTGGTTGGGAGACAGAATTCACAAATATGGTCAAAATTCATAGCAAATATAAAATCCCCAATGAGTAGCACAGACATTAAGTACTACACAAATCCAAAGGAAAGAGACTGGTGTTGCTTAGGGAAGTCAGGGAAGAATCTGGCTATCACTCAAATTAAAGTTAGAATATATTGAGAAACGTAATGACAAATAGTTTCTTCTTCACCTTATCATATTCTGAGTCCCTTAACACTCTCTGGGATAAGACACCCATTCAGAAGCTTTCAAATGACCACCATTATCAAATTGACTCTCAAATCAAGATGGAACTGATTTTTCAGGAAGAGGAGGAAATAGATAAGCAGAGAACAGTCTAAGAAAAAATTCTAATGGAGGAGAGGTATGATTACAAAGTCTGGGAAGTCAATTGTGCTAAGCATTCTCTTGAGACATGGAGAAATGAGCCTCCCTGAATGATCTCGTAGAATAAAAAGAACAGACAGCCCTCTGTTTCACCAAGTTCCTGTGACAGATACCCTGGTGCTGAAAGCCAGACTACGTTTGAGGCTAAGCCTTTACATGCATTCAAGGGGAATGCCAAGGCATCTCTGAGACTAAAAATTAACCAAACCAAGAATGGTTATGCGAAGGTGATTCCAAGTCTCACATCTTCCTAGCCAGGATGGTCCCTGGACTCCTGGGATCACCCAGAGGTCAGTGGTCACAAGCTGAGCCATTGAAGCATTTGATACCATGGAAGACAATGGCCATTTGCATGCTCTGGATACTTCACTGCATCAACTTCTGTAACAAAACTTGGTCTAACATTAAATACTTGCTGGAGTGAAACATAAACAAAAACATAAAGACATTAAAAAAAAAACCTACTTTGTCTCTAAATCTGGCCCTATAAAATGAGCTGCTATTTTAGTGGCCCATATTTATATATTTTAAAATAATAATTAACAAACCCTTTCCAGGAAACAAGGTCCCACTCTTTCTGGAGCATCAATGCAATTTTCCAGGCTGTTCAAGAAAATGCTGTAAAAATTTCAGAGAAAAAAATGATATAATTTTATGTGAAAGTATAATAAATTGGTCAATAGCCCTTTAAATAATAGGATGAAAAAGAAAATTCAATTCAGCAATTACATACTTGTTATGGAATTCATATATTTCTGCCATATTTCCAAAGAGAATATCCTTTTTATTTCTCAGGAGAGGTGGCATAAGATCAAACATCTCAGGATTATCCATCTCCGCTCTATAGCCCTACCCAAAATAAATACATTTATTCATTTAAAAAATATTCACATTAACATTTGTTTGGGCCACCAAAGGCACAGATACAGCAGAATGTATAGGGGATGAGTGGGTAAAGCTGTTGGTAATTTTAATAATCAAATCTTCCAGTACCCAAAGTTATCCATTTAAAAAAAAATCTTTTTTAAGAAAGCAAGACAAGGGAATCATGGTTCCCCACTCAATAGGTAGAATAAAGTGACTCTCTGGCCTTCAGGGTAGCTTATAGTGTAGGAAACAAAACAGAAACCAAGCATGAAAAAAATATATTATAGGTCATTAACCTCTCCTCAAACTGGCAATACATGTTTAGGTTTTTCAGACCAAATTAATATTATGACATTTGTATCAAATGACTGTTTTACTCCTACTTTTAGTTCTTTACATCACAATCTCTAAATAGCACCCTGGGAATAATTATAACAATCTGCGGGATTCTTAAGAAAACAGCTTATCTCTTCCATAATAAAATCTGGGTTCCACAATTCTCACTACTGAGGGAGAAGCTGAACATGCACATTTCACACACATGCAGACTGAAACAGTGGGAGAAGTACCTACTGCTGGTTGTGTGACAATCAAGGAAGCAGACAGCAAGAGAAAACTCAACACCTCCTACTGAATGTAGCAGGAGAACATTTGGGCAGAGATGGGAAAATATCACTTGAGTCACTTACCAACAAAACAGTAAACAGCTCACGAACATACACCCTCTCTGTCTGTATCAGTTCATTTAGGACATGGCTAAAGTGAAAAGACAATATTTATCAGTTATTTTGTTGCTTCAGAATTTTATTATGACCTTTCAATCATTCTCATTATAAATTGTCCAAGGTAAAAATGGTTAATGCATAGGAACTATCAATGGTTTCGGTTTTATCAACAAAATACAAAATTAATTGTATGGTTTCTAGAATAAGTACCACCCACAAGACTCTAAAATACATTTAGAAGAAAGGAAAGGGGGCTCAGGGCTTATTTTTAAATGAAAAAAAAACCCCACTTTATTTCTATCTCACTAAGCTTAAGAATCAATTTACTGGGCACCTGGGTGGCTCAGTTGGTTAAACATCCAACTCTTAGTTTCAATTCGGGTCATGATCTCTGGGTTGTGGGATCAAGCCCCGCCTCAGGCTCTGGGCTCAGTGGAGAGTCAGCTTGAGAGTCTTTCCCCTCCTCCCTCTCCCTCTGCTCCCCCCCACCCACCACTCTCACTCTTAAATAAATAAATTAAATCGGTTTTTTTTTATTGTGGGTTTTTTTCCTTCTTACCATTGAGCTGTAAGAGTTTTTTTTTTTTAAAGGTTTTATTTATTTATTTATTTATTTATTTATTTATTTATTTATTTATAAGAGAGGGGGTGCGAATGGGGGAAGGGGCAGAGGGACTCTCAAACAGAATCTCAAGTAGACTGAGCATAGGGCCTGACATGAGGTTTGATCTCACAACCCTGAGATCATGACCTGAGCCACAATCGTGAGTCAGTCACTTAACTGACTGAGCCAGCCAGGTACCACAAATAAAATCTTAAAAAAAGGTGAATATTCTTTTTTTTTTTAAAGATTTTATTTATTTATTCATGAGAGACAGAGGGAGAGAGAGAGAGAGGGAGAGAGAGAGAGAGAGAAGCAGAGGGAGAAGCAGGCTCCCAAGGAACAGGGAGCCCGATGCAGGACTCGATCCCAGGACCCTGGGATCATGACCTGAGCCGAAGGCAGATGCTTAACCATCTGAGCCACCCAGGCGCCCAAAAGGTGAATATTCTTATGTCTAGAATAGTAACATAATTATATAAAAGTAAACATTTATAAAATAACATTGTATATCCACATAACTCTTGTAGTTTTTGAAACATCTGTCTCATTCACTTTTACCTCTTTTACAAAAGAGGAAATGAAGATTCTGGAAAACGCTAGTTAATTTTTGAGTCACACAAAGAGAGCATAGGTTAGCCAGCCCTAATTCTAGGACTTCTACACCTCATCTAGTGCTCCTTTCATCAACCTAACAGAACCCCATTTTGTGATTTCAAAATCCAAGCACATTCGCCTTCAACACAGAATCAGACATTCCTACTGGTAGATGTGTATATGAGTATATGTCAACAAAGAAAAGATACTTCTGTAAAACATCCAAGCTATTGTCATTGTCCAAACTGGAGGATTGACCAGAACTTCTCTTCTCCCGACAATCATGCACCACTTCATTCTGAAATGATGAAAATAAAAGTTAAATTAGCATCTATGTAAGTATAGTTCTTCTTGAAGAAAATCTAGCTCAAATTAAGTTTTCTCTAGGTCCTGTGTAGGTAACTTGAAAACACTAGGATTATTTTTTTCAGGAATGACTTTGATATGTACTGGTAAAAAAAAAAAAATCTGTACTGGTAAAAAATTATTATAAAATTATTTGAGAGGCGCCTGAGTGGCTCAGTCATTAAGCATCTGCCTTCGGCTCAGGTCATGATCCCGGGGTCCTGGGATGGAGCCCTGCACTGGGCTCTCTGCTCAATGGGAAGCCTGCTTCTCCCTCTCCCACTCCCCCTGCTTGCGTTCCCTCTCTCGATGTCTCTCTCTGTCAAATAAATAAATTAAATCTTAAAAATAAATAAATAAATAAAAATTTTTTGAGTTGCCAAAGAGGACAGATGTAAGATACTAATTAGAATTTATTTTACACATGGGGCACCTGGGTCGCTCAGTTGGTTAAGCATCTGACTCTTGATTTCAGCTCAGGTCATGATCTCAAGGTTGTGGGATTGGGCTGGGCGTGGGGCCTGTTTAAGATTCTCTCTCTCCCTCTCCCTCTGCCCCTCCCACCACCTTCCCCCAATCCCCACTCGAGCTCTAAGAAAAAAATAATTTATTTTACACACTAAATAATGTCTCATTTATTTGGCACTTAGGGGAAGTGAGGTTAATCTGTAAAAAGTTGAGTTTCCAGATAACTAAAGTTTACTCATTGAAGAAAAAAACCCAGCTTTTTAACCTTAATGATTTTTGATGGAAACTTTCTAGGAAATATTACATGAATCCTTGAGTTCTTTAACCAAGGATACACAACATCATTGACTCTCTTTCTAATGCTTCAGTGGTATCATCAGGAACATGAATGATGTGATAAAAATCTGATGATACACCCCAGGGCTAATAACATGTGGGTAACTGTCTATTCTTTCTTAAAATGTTGATCTCTGTCTCTGCTCTCTGCCACACGTCAGTTTTTGCTACAAGTGACTTCCCTGATCCTAAACCACTGTCTTATTTTGAAGACTCTACAGGACTTGGCTGGCCTACTGAGTCAACTACATGAGATCTGTGGGGGTTATTTGTTCTTCAGAAGCCTCAGAATTATTTTCCAAGGATCCTGGCTGTATTTGGACTTTTGAGCCTGCAAAATGCCTGAACTCCAAGTAAAGGTAACATTACTTTGTCACAAGTAGAACCCAAAATGAAGTATGAGATCTGTCAGCTAAAAACCATTTTCACAAAACATTACAAACACATGTGGAAAGGAACAAACATTTATTGACTATTTCCTATATATTGTGCAGGCACAGTTGTAGGTACTTAACACAAATCATTGTATCCAATCTTCCCAGCAATTGAGCAAGCTATGGCATACTTATCCTCATTTTACATATGGGAAAACTGAGGCTCACAGAGGTTTAGCAACCGGGCCAAGGTCACATAGCTAATAAGCGATGAGAGAGAGTCAAGCCCATGGTGTGCCACCATTATGCTCCCTCTTTTTAAGACCATGCTTTGATTCATTCTATCTGAATGTACCAACTATCATCATTTTACTACTGTAACTAAGACTGATAATGTTGCATACTTCTTCACTCATCAGATAGGTATGCATCATTTATTCCCAACAGGTTTCCGAAATACAAGTTTGGAAAGTTTTGAAACATAAATTTATACTTGTAAATGCCTAAGGGTTGTGCAAATTGACTTGAATTGGAAGAACGTGTGCATTTTGGAACTTGGTTTACTAGCTAGAAATCTCACCAAGAAAATGTACAAGAGCCACAGCCTCCTATTTCCCCCTGGGATATGTAAATGAATAAATCCACATAGAGGAACGTTAGGGTGCCATGAGTGGAAACTGGAACTGAAAGGCCCGTAAGACTATGGAATTTGGTATTCAGCCTGTTTCCTTCTTGAAAACAGAAGTTGTGGCTGTACAACCTGATAACCAGGCATGGTATATCAGTACAGGCCATTCACTAGCCTGCTCACAATGGTATACAACATGAAGAACACTACCATATGCCACGCTTTTATTCGAAATACTTCCCAAATATTTTTTTTAAAGATTTTACTTATTTATTTGACAGAGAGAGAAAGAGTGAGAGAGAGGGAACACAAGCAGGGGGAGTGGGAGAGGGAGAAGCAGGCTTCCCGCTGAGCAGGGAGCCCGATGCGGGGCTCGATCCCAGGACCCTGGGATCATGACCTGAGCCGAAGGCAGATGCTTAATGACTGAGCCACCCAGGAGCCCTTCCCAAATATTATTTTATGTTTACATGAACTCTATGCTGAGGGTGATCTGTTATTATCCCCATTTTATAGATAAGGAAATGCAGTTCCAGAAAACTTACCCTAGGTTATATAGCCAGTAACTGATGGAGTTGGGATTAAAAGCCAGGTAGTCTCTATCACTGCTATAGTGTAGCCTCTTGGAGATATATGTTCTTGTCCTTATTTACCATCGGGAAGACACAAGGAAAATGTAGGGCCCTACAGTTATGATGAGGCTACTCTCTGCAGATACCAGAATATCATGGACAACTAAGAAGGAGTCTTGCATCGATCTAGAAATGAACAGATGTCTTTTTTGAGTCCAGCGTATGGACCATTAGAACCTGTCCTTTGTCCATGTTTTATACTTACAGGAATGTAATCAGTTATGAAAGAAACCTCCTTTTGTAGAAAGATGCAATACTTATTTAAGTTTATTGAGGTGGAGTGGGGGAAAGAGAAGCTGAGATTTATAGATGTTTTATGGAAATTAATTCTGAACTTGAGCCAAGACCTGAGAAACGGCTCATACACCTGGGGATATGCCAGGACCACAATTAGACACAATGCAGCAACAGCTTTTTCTTTTAGATTAAATAGGCTTCCGAACATACAATATTGGTTTAGTGGATTAAAAATATGGTTTAAGCCTCCATACCAATTCTGCAACTACAGCAATAAAGCTAATTTTGAATTAATTAATGGTATTTACTTTTAAGTTGCTCTCATTTTGTCTCCAAGTCTTCTTTCCTGGTAGAAAAATATGAAAGAGGAATTTCAAGCCAGAATTAAAATCAATACTTTTAATTAAAACGCATGCATGTTTATTAAATAGAGTTACGAATATTCTAACATATTTACATTAGTATTTTTAAATCACACTATACAAAACAGTTGACTGGTTAGATTCATCTATATGATTTCAACTTCTTATTGAGTATCACTCTGCTACGTCTTCACACATTCTCTGACTCATCAAAATTCCACGTGATTGCCAAGCGAGCCTGAAGGTGTTAGAATTTGGAATTACTTGCAGATTTAGTGTTCATTTTGACACATAAGCATTTAATCAGATTGTAGCTCACTGACTAACTGTATCAAAAAGAGTTTGGGAAAACATCTGACTTTAACTAATAACTACATGCCAGGCAGTTCTAAGCCCTACACACCCATTTTGGATTTTAATCCTCAAATCAACCATAACAGATAGTACTATTTCTATCCCCATTTCATAGATAAGTAAGTAAGGTTAGTATCTTGTCCAAGAAGCAGAGGTAGTGTTCAAATCTGCATAGTCTACTTTCAGAATACATGCTTCTCACAACTACATGAAACAACTCTGAAGCATATTAAAATGCTAAAACAAAACAACTTCATCAAAATTCCAAGCTTTAATCTTTCTGTTCTTCCTGTTTCATCTCTCCTTTTTTTTTAACATGTTGAAAGTGAAGTTATCTGTATTTTTTTTAAAGTTTATTTATTTGTTTTTAGTAATCTCTACATCCAACGGGGGCTCGAACTTACACCCCAAGATCAAGAGTTGCATGCTCTTCCGACTGAGCCAGCCAGGCACCCCTCCTTTTCTTTGTTTCATCTTTCTGTTCTGTTTACAGTGGGTGAGCCCCTATATTATTAAGCAAGGAGTCCAAATGTTCCTACAAACCCCAGGGCATGGTCCAGTGCAAGACCAGGTCATTTGAGTTCCTTATTTTCAGTGCTGCTAAAAAAGGCTGCCACCCACACAGGCTGCAGGGGTCTCTTCTCTCTCTGGAAGAAATATACTTTTTGCCCTTTCTTCCTTGACAGGAACCACCGCAAGGCACAGTCCGGGAAAGGCTATGCTGTTAGGTTCTCTAAATTTTATACTTCACTTTCATTATTTAAAAATATATTTTAGGGGCCCCTGGCTGGCTCTTCGGAAGAGTGTGTGACTCTTGATCTCGAGGTCATGAGTTCGAGCCCCACATTGGATGTAGAGATTACTTTAAATAAATAAACTTTCTAAAAAAAAGTAAAAATAAAAATATATTTTATAGGGGTGCCCGGCTGGCTTAGTCAGGAGCACATGCAACTCTTGATCTCAGGGTCATGAGTTCAAGCCCCATTTTAAGAGTCGGCCTTATTAAAATATATATATATATATATATATATATATATATATATATATATATATAAAATGTATAAAACATAGCATAACATATGGAGATGCTGAATCACTACGTCGTACACCTGAAACTAAAGTAACATTGTGTGTCAACTATACTCAAAAAAAGTTAAAAATATATATATTTTATATACAAGCTTTATGTTTATAGCATCATATATATAAATATGTAAGTTAGACTTAGTGGCAACTTATCACATAAAATCAATTTCTCAATGAACACTGATGTTCACCACTTTAAAGACACCTGATACACAGAGATCCAAACTTATTTATAAAGGTAACTGAGGGAGCCTTACTAATTAGCTTTACTAATTAATTCTTTGCAACTACATTAAAAGATAAAAAAGGAATATATACACAACTCATGAGGAATGCAGCTTTTTCTGAAAAGCAAGGTAGAGAAATTCATTCTTTCAACAACATAAATAGATACATGAAATTATGGGGCACCTGTACTATATGCTAAGCTCCATGTCTGGTGCTGGGGATACAAACATGAACTGCACACAGGCCCTGTCCTTACAGAGTTTACAGTCTAACAAGAGAGATGGAAAACAGGCAATTACACGAAAGCGGTGAAGACACATGGCTGGACTTGTTACCACACAGCATGGCTGCTCAACCAAACTGGGCGCCAAGGAGGAGAGGCAGGAAAGAAAAGCTTCCGTGAAGGAAGAGGACTAGGGACAGGAAATCTGCTGGAGGAAAAGAAGCCAGCGGAGGGGAAAGGGAGAGGGAAGGAAATAGTGTCCCAGAGGGAGAACAGTACTGTAAGGTCTGACGGGCAAGGCGAGTAGAGGCATGTGAAAGGGAAAGTGGGGAGACAGGGAGACGGCTGCGGTTGTCAAGGCAACAGATGACATGAGCTTGGATTAAGGACCTGGCAGTAAGCAACAGCAGTGGGGATGGAAAAAAGCGGATTCTGTGAGTACTATTCACTGAGATGAGGAACAGAGGGGATGATTTGCAGGAGAGGCTATCAGGCGGAGTCTGAGTTGCCTATAGGAAATTCAAGGAAGCAAATTGTAAATGGAGCTCTGAAGCTTACGAGAAAGATGCAGACTAGAGCTACAGATTTAGGAGCTGAAACCACATTTTACCCCTCACAATGTTCTTTGCTAACTTCCCTCTGTATTAAGTATTAATTCAGGGGTTAAGTGACTGACTCTTGATTTTGGTTCAGGTCGTGATCTCAGGATCATGAGATCAAGCCCTGCATGGGGCTCTGTGCTCAGCGTTGGGTGGGCTTGAGATTCTCCCCCTTTGCCCCTCCCCCCGCTTGCACTCTCTCCCGCTCTCTCCCTCTCAAATAAATAAAATCTTTAAAAAAATTAATTCAACAAATATTTATTGTGTCCTGCTAGTTGCCAGGCACTGTGCTAGGTGTAGGATTCTGTTTGATGCAAATTAATAAAAATAAACAAACAAAAACAAACAAAACCAGTTTGACTTACTGCATGAAAGATTAACACAATCTGATTTGACCAAATCTTATATATTTGGCTTAGCAATTAACAGTCTTGAAGAATTATTTAGACCTGATTGTTATAATCCCCATTACTCACAGAGCAATGAGGTAAAAAGAAACAATGTAGCACAAATGATGTTTTGGTTTAATTTAGAAACCACGATAAATAATGGGTAAAATCATTTATCCATCCATGTCATTTATTCAGTCAGCTGTCTTCTTCCACATAAATACATTAGACAGTCTTAAACTGAAGAAAATTCAAGCTACTCCCAACAAACAGTTGTACTGTGGAAGACACAAGAGTCTCTAAAATGAAAGAAAGCTTGATTTATTTTAGCATTGCCAATTGTTTTCCTTGGTTTCTTTTTATGGGTGGTCATTTGATGAGATTAGAGTTTAGAAGCATAAGCTACTTTTCAGATAGTCATTTTCCAAGGTAAGTTTAATGCTGGGAGAATACGGATGATTTTATGGGAAAAAAAAGGGAGAAAGTTAATCGTGGGCAAAATTCAAGAATGAATTGCTGCTGGTTTTAGATGTCAAACTGGTTTTTCACATGGACACAAACTCAGAAAATGTACTGAAGAAAAGTAATAAAGATGGGTACCTTGGGAAAAAAGTTTACATGCTTGAAAGAAAGAGTATCCAACTCCCACTGCAGAAAAAAAGTGTAATGCCATTAAATAAGAATACTGTAAGGTTTTTTTTCCTCTTTGTCTTCACAGCAACCCTTTCAAGTCACTAGGCATTATTGGTCCTATTTTACAAACAAGGAGACTAGGCTAAAAGAGGTTAAGTGAACTACCCCAGGTCACACAGCCGATAGAGCCAGACATCTAACTGTGCTCTGTCCTCTGTTAAGGAATATAAACCTATCCTATTTTTATTCCCATAGCTGTTGGTTTGTAGCCCTCTATTGGTTTTTTGGTTTGTTTTATTCTTTTGCCCTGTATCTTCTTAGTCAATATTCTTCACTTACGGCACTGTTCATAGTTTCATTTGTGAGTATATTTTTATATTTAATAACTATTAACTACATAACTTCTAGCGTCCTAGCTGAGTGACATGCTTTCGTCACCTCATTTTCATATGATCCATGCGGGGATTTGACCGAGGTTTTTATGCTCCTTATGCTTGGTTCAAGCTCTCTCCGAATTTCAAAGCACTTCCCATATATTAATGAGGTCTCCGATCCTTCAGATCAGACAGACCAAATTTAGTTCCATGTTCACCCGTTCAACTAACTTAGGGCCCCAAAGGCCAAATTACTCTCCCCTAAGAGGCCCCGGCCCCAGAGGCAGCTCAAGGGAAACTTTGGGCAACAGAATCATCTTACTTCCAGATTAGTTCACCACCACAGTCAGGATAGCTATTTTATCCTACAGAATGTAGAAAGGAAATGGATATCACATGGTTAAAACTAGTCTACAAAGATTAAAACCAGAAAATGGACTCTGTTAATTACTAGCAAAATTACTCTGTTTACCTGCACTTAACTTAGAAAAGGCAATCCGTTCTATTACCTAACCATTCACTTACTAGAAGCTAATAAGAACCAAGTAATAATCTATCCACATAAGTAGTAAAGATGTGTGTGCGCATGCACACGCATACCCGTGTGTGCCAGATTCATATGCTTTCCTCCACCTGCAGAAGAAAGGGGTGGGCTTGATGCCTATGAAATGTTCACACTCGTTGCAAGGTTGGGCCATTCAGTCCAGACTGTCCTCATTCTGTACTACACTACATTACCACTATGTTTTACTGTCGTACAATAATCTTGACCATGACTCCTGCCTTGTGCAACAGAGTGTAACCGTGACCAAAGATGCTTAAATAAAATTTCAGTTTATCAGGACTGAAGAATGCATTCAGTATTTACATCAAGAGTAACAGACAACAGCAGGAAAAGAAGAGTGAACGTAAGATACTTTACCATGTTTAGGTGAAAACGATGCTCTAGCTCTCATCAAATTGTCAGAAGCAGGTACCACAAACTGGACTGGCTTCACATGCCTGTCCGTCAGGTTCCTGAAACCAGCTTGTTGGTTCTCAAATACACTTCGGATGTGTTCAAGTTTGAGTTGTACAGTCTGCATTTGAACCTGCAGGTTGCACGAGACTTCTGTGAAATACTTTCTGAATTGAGATCATTACAAATCTTATGACATTTCTCAGACCCAGACAGTCAAAAAATTAATTTAGAGTTTAAAATAGAACTAGAAAAAATTAGGAAAGCAACAGAAAACAGATGGATGCACTACCTTCATATGGTCATAAAACCAGAAGATCTCAACCAAAACAACTCGAAGAAATTGATCGAGCAGTCATGAAATAGGTCACTATCTAAAGTGCGTTACCTGTCGTGGCTGGAAGGAGTAAGGGCTGGAAAAGGAGGCACGTTTCGCACAAGAAAGCCACCAGTTAAGCACTGTCAGAGCAGTGTGTGATGTGTTAGCCTGCAGGACGTTCTACAGTTCTCTGTGTGGTGTAAAAGCTCCTCCTAGACCCTCCTAGATGATTTGAGGCAGTTAGAGATTAGCTTGGTTGCTTCCAGAGAAATCACCTGGTTGTTGTTGTGGCAACTTTTCTGATTTTCTGGGGCGTCCCCTAAGATCTGCAGCTAAGCATGGTTTTAGATCTTCTTCCAAACTTAAGAGTCAACTAAACATTGTGGCAACCAATAGCATCACAAAATCTCTTAACTACAATGTAGTGAGAGTGCTTCATGACATCCCCAACAGAGTGGTACTGCAGTAACCCGTTGGTCTCTACCTTGTTAATACCAACGTCTGCTTGCACCCTGACCCTAAGGAGCCCCAGATCATTTCTTTATCCCTTCAATCTCAAACTCAGTAGGAAAGCCAGATGTGTGTCCACAGAGCATCTGTTGGTAGTAACTGCAGCAGAAAAACAAGACATTTGGAGTAGAATGCTCTTGACAAAGGCCCAGTATTGTCCTAGGATAGCTTTAGCCCCTTCTCTAAGGATACACAGAACGATGTATATGTAAGAACTCCTAGTATGTGAAAAGAGTTGAAAAATAATGGCATCACAGCCCAAAGAGGATTTATTCTTCATTATACAACAAGCATAAAGCCTTGGGATGCTTTTTTTAAAAAGTCTATTTATTTTTAAGTAATCTTTACACCCAATGTGGGGCTCAGACCGGTGACCCCGAGATCAGGAGTCACATGCTCTACCAACTGAGCCAGCATGACGCTTCAAGCCTTTGTATTCTCTGATGCTTAACAGTGGTACTAATATCATGCCTCATCCTTAAGAGAAGCATGTAACTGCAATTTGACATAAAGTCAGCTGTGAAGTAGTAAAACTCTTGCCAACACTACTGGAATTACAGTTTTAAAAACATTTGTTCATTTGAAAAAAAAAAGCCTCTTACCTTGAGTTCAGGAGATAGAATTACATCAAATTCATACTGCAGGGTATCAGGATCATAATTTATAAAGGGCAAAGCCATCTCAAGAAAATTTTCAATGTCTCGGAGGGCTTTTTGAGCATCTTCTTTAGACTGAAACTTCTCTATTTCCTGATTAGCTAGAAGGCATTCTCCTTCATCACAGCACTGACGAGCCTGATGAGCAAATCACACAGACACACACACAGACACACACACACACACAAACCATGAATGAATAAAGAGAAATATATTTGTCCTTTAGGATGTTTACCAGCCCTGGCTTCTGTGAATCAGAGTTGTCTTCAGAGCTGTTAAAAATAAAGGTATCTGGGTTCTGCCCCCAGAAATTCCGATTCAGTAGCTCTGGGCCCTAAGCCAGGCATTTCAATTTCTGCAGAGCTCCACAGGTATTTCTGAAGCACAGCCAAGGCTGGGAAGCACTGTACTTATTTCATAACAAGGAATTCATTCTGCAGCGAAGAGTCTGACCATTCTCTCAACACTAACACTTCAGCTGCATGCTATTTTTCCCCAAATCAATAAGTGAAATATGAAACGCCTCCCAAAACATAAAGTGTAATATACACGTGTAGTGATTGTCAAGGACAAGGATAAAAGTTTCCCTGCCAAAGAAGGAGATGTACAGATTAAAATGTTCATGTTCAGATATGACGTGTGTAAATGATATCCTCATTTTACATCCCACTTCCAAGGCCAGCTCTTCTCTTCACTGCCTAATTCTGAAAGGGGTCAGACCGCCAAGGCATGGAGGACTATCTTTCCGTCACTGTTGAATTTCTTATTGCAGTAACTATGAAGTGTGGGAGGAGTTTCTGGCTTTAGCAAAATGCCTCTAGGGCTTTGAAAAGTGTGCTGACTGCAAACTATCACCAGAGGAGAGGTTCAGAGATGTACCCAAAATAGAAAGGAAGCCATCACAACCATGATCTCAATATTCAGAACGGAAGCCAAAATTCTTACAATACTTGACTTGCCACGAATACTGCAAAGGTACGTGGATTAAATGAACATCATCAGAGCCAATCCTTGAACGTCTTACAAATGTAATTCCAAAGCTCTCCCAGACAGACCTTTACCCTGTAACCTATAAGAAAAAAAAAAATGATCTTCTTGCTCAGAAATGTTATCAGGGCTCAAGACACTACCTGCTGCAGGAGTTTGTGCATTTTGAAGATCCTGCTGAGCTGTATCCTTTTGGCTTTGATCTCATTAACCAAAATATCAGAAAGGTAACGTAGTTCATTGCACCTCTGGCAGATCAAATCAAGGGCATAATGGTGATTTGCAGCAAGTCGGTGTCCGTGTAATATCACAAAACGGGCCTTTGCTAACAGATCCTAATTTTAAGAAAGAAGTAAAACAAGAACAGTATGATATCTGTTCAAATAGAGAAGAAACAAGAAAGTAATTGTGAAGCAAATTGGTTTAGCAAGGCACAGAGAGCGCCAAAAATATGATTTGATGTCATACTTCTGCAGGCTCCAAGTCACAGTCATTAGTTACAGCAGTGACACCATCAGAAACACATGTACTTCTAGTACCAGAAACAGAAAATTAACCAGCCCGCTCAGAGTGTGGATGAAGTTTGCTTCTCCTGGTATATACAGATTTAGAACAGAACTGCATCTATCCAATGAGGTACACAGGGGCCAAAGGAAAGCTAATGGATTTCATACCATCTCAGCCTTGGAAATCTCATTAGTCATCATCTACCTGACTACTTTACATACCTGAAGGGAACACCACTGAGTCTCCAAGTCAAAGGGGATCTTAGTGGCCTTGCCCCCACTCTATCAACTACTGGCATCCCCCCCTCCTACCCTGGTCCCCCACTTGCTCCCAACATAGTGACTGAAATCAGTAAGTGGTCAGGAATATCTGTCAAGGTAAAATAAGAAAAACTGAAGCCCATAATGATAAAGTGACTAGCCTACCTAGCTGGTGGGAAACCCAGGGTTAAAACAGGGAGTTTTTTCTTTTTTTTTAAATGGGTACAGTTTCAGATTTGCAAAATGAAAAATTTCATTCTGGCAATCTGTTGCACAACAATGTGACTATAGTTAACACTACTGAACTGTATACTTAAAAATGGTTAAGGGGGGCAGGCACCTGGGTGGCTCAGTTGGTAAAGCACCCAACTCTTGATTTTGGCTCCGGTCATAGTCTCAGGGTCCTGAGATCAAGGCCCGCATCAGGCTCTGTGCTGAGTGTGGAACCTGCTTGAGATTCCCCTCTCTCTTTCCCTCTGCTCTTCCTCCCCCAGTTCATGCTCACTCTCTCTCCCTCCCTCTTTTTCTCTCTCAAAAAAATAATTAAAAAAATGGTTATGTTAGTAAATTTCATGTTATGTGGGGTTTTTTTCTTACCACAATTAAAACTAAAAAAAATTAAAAACAAACAAAAACCTCAAAGTCCCCTCATTTCCAAGCCAATTTGCCTTCTCTTTCTAGTATGCCACAGAGATTATAAACTGCCCCACAGTCACAACAACCTACAAGCATAATTCTAGAACTGGTCACCACAACTGCGGCCTCTCAAATTTCATTTTTGGATGCTTACGGTATACCCATAAATCTATTTGTTTGCTGGGAATGCACCTTAAAAAACAATGGCCTTGCTCTCACATATAAGACAAAAGAGCAAAGCCAGTTTGTTAACTATTATATCTATGAGTCCAAGCCTTTTAGACCAGCAAAATGATAATTGTTGGCTCTTTTGATTACTTATTATCTAATCAGCTATCCCAGGTACTGTGCTAAGTGTTTTGCCTACAACATCTAAAAGAATCCTCATAATCATTCTGCAAAGTAAGTCACTTTATCCCCAATTTATAGATGAAGACATTAAGGCTTAGAAAATTTAGTTTACCCAAGGTCACACAGCTAGTAAAACTAAGCAGATCTGTCTGAATCTGTGTTTGCTTCAATTGCACATCCACATGATGGATATTTAAGGAATTATGCTTTTGTATACTTCCATCATTTCCAAGTACCAAATAGCATTCTTTTTTTAAGATTTTATTATTTACTTGAGAGAGAGAGAGAGAGCACAAGCAGGGGGAGGGGGAGAGAGAGAGAGAGGGAGAAGCAGACTCCCCAGTGAGCAAGGAGCCTGAGGCGGGGCTCGATCCCGGGACCATGAGATCCTGACCTGAGACGAAGGCAGACGCTTCACCGACTGAGCCACCCAGGTGCCCCACCCCTCAAATAGCATTCTTGATAAGACATTTTTTTTGGCTTCTTCAAAATGATTTACGCCTTTGTTCCTAATGGTGGGCCTGAAACCATTCACATCATCATCTCAGAAGCCACCTATTACAACTACATGACTTGTCTGCAGCGTCACCTCTGGCTCACATTGATAAGAATACAGACCAGTATTATTAAACCAATTATATAGACTGTTGCTATGAAAGGTGGCCCATAAGGGTTGATACTACTGAAAACCATCAAAATGTAACTGTTAGAACAGTGAACGTCTGAGATGTAATCTTACCTGAGAATTTTCATCTAAGTTTTCCAACTTTTTTATTTTTTGTTTTACTTGACCTATGTTCCCTGTTACATCTGCCAACTCTGCTTGTTGGTTTAACATAAGTTCGACTTCACTCACAAGCTATAAATAGGAAAAAAAAAAAACAAGTCTTAAAAGCCTACAAGGTATTAGGCATTTTCCCTTAATCCAGTTTTATAGGAAATGCTATTAAAAAAAATGCAACATGGAAAAATGGCACATGTGGAGAATACTTTGTTATTTTATTCCTAGAAATTGATAAAGTCTATTAAAATCTAACCTCCTAGATCTTAGTGTGTGCTTATGATATATAAGATATCACTATGTACATAGGCTGGCAGCTACATGCGGACATGTACGGAAGCATATGCATGTGTATATACTTGCATATTATATTCCCAAGCTCTGTGGTCAGTGGTCCTCAGAACAAAGACCCTCTAGTAGTAATGAGCACACCTGGAACCCAGAAAAAGAAACCAGGGATCCTCAGGCAAGTGGCTGGTTCCAGGGCTAAGGCAGAGTAGGTACAAGATGAGCTTGGGATATCTCTTTATGCCAGAAAGTCTGGACATGTCACAAGGACACAGTAGTCAGTCTGAAACACCAAAATAGTTAAGAACAGCAAAGGATTATAAACCATTACAAAACTAGGAAGTCATGAACCCCAAAATCAGATAAATAAAGAAATGGGGAGAAGGGAAGACTCTTGCTCCCAGCAGCACGCCTATGGGAACTGAGAAATATGGAGGGAACAATGGAGTTGGAAAGTAAAGACTGGTTGAAGCAAGCATCATAGTAAAGACTGGTTGAAGCAAGAATCATTAATTGATGCTAAACATATAAAGAATCATTAATTGATGCTAAACCTATAAAGAACTTTTGATAAGCAGCAAGATGTTTGCATGACCTTAAATTTTCTCCCCACCCATTTCCTACTAGTTACAAGTGGGAGGAAAGTAATGATACAGTGGAGAACTGGGTAATCAGAGGGCACATCAACAATGAGGGGCAGGTGAACCTCACTTACCACCAGATGCGATACCCTCAGAAGAACACATCACTTACATAGTATGCTCGCTGGGCACACAAAGATTAATCTAATCGTGAGAAGAAGTCAGACAAATGGAAAATGAAGAACATTTTATGTGAAAAAAGAACTGGATTCTTCAAAAATGGCAGCGTCATAAAAGACAAAGAAAGGCTGTGGAAATCTTCTAGACTAAAAGTGACTAGACATGACAACTTATGCAATACCCAACCCTCTAAGGCTGAATCCTGTACTGGCGGGGGAAGAAATGATAGAAATGACATTATTGAATCAACTGATAAAACTGGAATACCAACGGTAGGTCATAGAAAGTACTGCATCATGGTTAAACTGTACTAAATTTGCTAACTGTACTGTGGTTATGCAAGAGGATATTCCTACCCTGTATATTCAAAAACATTTCAAGTTTGAGAATATTCAAACTTTTCTGTACAGCTAGAATTTACAAATAAGATTTTTTTGAAGTTAAGTTCCTACATATATATAGAACCTATTTGCAGGTGACCAGGAGACACAGATCACATCAGTGAAATTCCAATCCAAGGCCAATGACAACAACACTGAGTAGAGGCAACAATGATTTGAAGAAACAATATGGCTAGAGGACAAGAATTTTGTCTGGGTACAAATTAACATATTAAGTAGAGGCCCAATGGGTGTGTTTGGGGGAAGAGCATGATTTTTGCATGTATTCGGCTGGGGAGGAGGGAAAGACACAAATATCTGGAAGGCCTGAGAGCAACTTGGCCTACTCTTTCCTTAAGGAAGGTTTCACGGAGAATACCGCATTCCCAAATCTGCTGGCGTCACAGAAGGCAAAGGGCTGGCAGGACCTGAGCCCCATGTCCAGAACAGATGAAATACCAAGCAAGTGAGAAAGTCATGGGTGGAAAACAGGCTGGCCACATGCGAGAGAGAAAAGCAGTGAGTCTTCCTTGGACCTCCTGGTAAAGTACTATGATAGAGACTGTGAGGAGCCTGGCCATGTGTGATGTATTTTCCAGAAGCATCCAACTAGAAGGCACTTTTTTGTAACCTTTAAAGTAATGTATAATTAGACATGATGCCGCTTCATACACCAGGCTTTTCATAGAAATAAATTACTGGATCCAAAAAAAAAAAACGTTTTTGTTACGTCGTATTAAATATGGTCAGTATAGGTATATGGTATTTACAAAAAAATCAAGAAGGAAGTGGGTATTATTTCCTTGGAAAGCTGAAAGGAAATTTCAGGCTGAAAACATTTTATATGTAAAATAAATTACAATAATAAACATCAGGGTGAATGGCAACTTAGTCCTGTCTTATATGTTAGCACTTAAATGCTTTCTTATAGGAAATAAGTAAGCAAGAAAGACAACTTGGGGAGGTGGGTGGGGGGATGGGGTAACTGGGTGATGGGCATTAAGGAGGGCACGTGATGGAGTGAGCACTAGGCGTTATATGCAACTGATGAATCACTAAATTCTACTCCGAAACTAATAATACACTATATGTTAACTAACTAGAATTTAAATAATTTTTTTTTTTTAAAGAAAGACATCTTGGCAGGGTTCACTCACATTTGCCCCCTTTCCATCTCTCTCTGGGTATAAATGGGCATCTTGTGAGACTATATTTCTGATGATCAAGGAGTAAGAACCTCTGGCATAATGAAAAAAAAACATAGAAAGAATGTTTTAACTGACCTCTTGAAAATCCTGCTCAAACTTCCACAGTTGCAGATACTGCTCCATTTTTAATTGGTGTTTTTCCCAAAATCCATCAAAAGCTATCTCCATATCATGTACTTGAGTCAGCAATCTTAACAAAGAAAAGTCATTAGAATTCCTTCACAACAACGATTTGTCTTGTAGGTATGTACACAAACTTGGTCTGGACATTAAGAATTCCAGGCAACGTCAGACACCGTGACACTTGGTCCATGAAGAGACCATTGATGTCCACGGAACCTCTTTCACAAGCAAACTAATCTCTTCCAGGGAAGGTGTTCTCAGATTCCCAGAGGTCCAGGAATATTTTCCCACTTAACAGATGGCAGCAAAATGTATAATTCCCTTTCAAAAGTATAAAATAAGTAACTCCAAACCAAAAGGAGAGTACTCACTTATTAACAGTCTGCCAGTCACCGTTTACGTGGTGACGGTGTTCAAGCCTTGAACCGACAGCGTCTTCAATGCTAGGCACTTCCAGACTTGTGAGGAGGATTTTTCCCTCTTTGGTTACTGCTGTAATATCATTCTGTAAAAAAGCACAATAGGATGAATTAGCCAGCTAGTCCCCTAATCTGAATGACCTAAAGAGAAGGAAGCATACACTTACAGCACGCACAGGAGAAACAGCCGTTCTAGAACGGCCTTTACAGAGTATGTCAGTACCACAGAATCTAAAACCCATGAGGATCTCCAAGAAGCCTCCACCTGCGGAGATGGATGTTGCAATCAGGATTTTTATAAGATGTTTATGGGCAGAAGTACCTGGTGCTCCATTTGTAGTCTCCTCTTACTGGTAGAAAGTTCTCATTTATTCTTTTCTACTAATATTTTTAATATGCTCCAATAAAGCAGAAGTAGCATAATGAAGTCTAGCACACTAGAAAGCATACAGCTAAAATAATATTTAATGCATATTCAAATAGAGTCTGATGCCTTTCCTACTAAACCTTAATCGTTACCAATTAGTGCCTGCCATAAGTATGACGTTACTTCACGTTTGGATTAATTAATTCCTCATGAAGTATATGCTTCTTTCTATTCAGAAGGTCTTAACCTTGGTGGGTAGATTCTTCAGGCACCTAAGAGTGATCTATGACTTCCTTCAGGAGATCCAAGGGTCCTCCGAAATGTTAAGCAAAAAATTCGGGGGTACATGTATTTGTCTGGGGACAAGTTTCATGACACCACCACCAATATGAATAAGAACACAGACATGAAGAGCAAGTATTTATGAAGTACCAGCTATGTGCCAAACACTGTTGTACCTACATCACATACTCCATTTCATCCTCACAGCGACCCTACAAGGTATGCATGCATCATCATCATCAACCTCATTGTGCACGTAAGGTAACTCCAACTCAGAGAGAGGGTAAGCAAATTCTCCAATCACACAGCTTAGGAGGGACAGAGCTGTCTTTCCTTGAACAGTTTTACTTTTAGATTATGATTCAAAATTTCAGTTTCTCTCCTCTTCTTAATTTAAAAATGTCACCTCAAAAAAATAAAATAATAAAATAAAAATGTCCCCTCTACATAGAGCTTGTACCTGTGAGTGCCCTCCAGGAAGCCTACTATCCTATGAAGGACATGGATTACTATACAGGTGCTTCTTTAGATCAATCTTTTTTTTTGTTCAGATCATTCTTAAACTTTCTGGGGAAGGTGAATCTCAAAGTACTTGGTGATTGTCTGAATGGTGACTCAGAATCCTTCACAAGCCAGCACTCCAGACAACTGGGCAGGAGGGCCAAATCAACTTGCCATCTAAAGTCTATTGTACAAAACATCAAAAACTAGTACTCTGGGGGCACCTGGCTGGCTCAGTTGGCAAAGCATGCAACTCTTGGTCTCAAGGTCATCAGTTCAAGCCCCACGTTGGGTGTGGAGCCTGCTTAAAAAACAAACAAATAAACAAACAAACAAACTAGTACTCTATGGAAAAGAAAGCTTGTAATCATTTAGCAATGTTTGCCTTGGTCACAGGCCCCCTGACTCCTCCTCAAGTTCTCCTTCTCCATTTCACATTGCACCTGTGGTGGATATTAAACTAGAACACCTGTCTGCCTTTTGATTCTCCAGCTTTCTAAATGAGAGGGCCTTTTGATAAGATAAAGAATACACAGTAACAAAGATCACTATGGATTTCTACTTCCGGGGCACTTAAAAACTATTCTATCAACAAATAAAGAACTTCTCAAGACAAGGCACCATTTGCAAAGGGGACACTTAGATTCAACACATCCAGGACGTTCTCCCCTGTTGTCTCCCTACCCACCAATCAGCATGAAAAGGACATGCACTGAACACCTTCCTAGGAAAAGAAAGACCATGGATAACTTTTGTTTGTTAACTCTATCAGACATACCTTTAACATGTGATACCTTTCAGCACGAACTGCAAGAATTTCTTCTATTGAAGGAATATCATCTGGTAGTTCTGTCTCAGCCAGTTCGGTTCCAAAGGACTGTAACATCTGAGCCATTTCTTTCACCGTGAGAGCAAAATTTTCTATAGCCTGCAAAGAGCCAGTGATCCTTTTAATTCCATGGAAACTGACAGCATATCAATACTTGGATCAGTAATTGTGTTTACTTTACTATGACCTCTCCTCTGCTAAGGAAAGTTGGCATTGCCCTTGGCAATAAACTCTAATTTTGCATCTAAGCCTCTACAAAACTAATGTGAGGTTAAGAGTCTTCTTGAATGTCTTTTATCCAAACATCTGTACTTATTTCTTGAACACCATTGAAAACAATTTTTTTAAGTTTCTTTTTTCTAGTAATCTCTACACCCAACATGGGGCTTAAACTCATGACCCTGAGATCAAGAGTTGCATGCCCCTCCAACAGAGCCAGCCCGGCACCCCTGAAAACAATTCCGTAAAGATGCCATGTACTAAGAAATTTGTTTTCAGCCTTTGTTTAGGCCTATCCTATTAAACTCTGCAAGTGTAAAATTGCTTTATACTAACTTTACTTCTGAAGAGATGAGAACATCAAAGCCACTTGACATTCCTTTATTATAACTTATGAGCAAGCATTAACATTCCAAACACAGCAAAGGACACAGGTGATGGGGTAACAAACTGGTCACAACAATTCATTCAGGCAGAAGATTTGAAATTGTGATCCCAAAAGCTCTGTTGCCCTAAAATGTCAAGTAAGGTGGTGGTGTTGATTGTTTCCAAAATCAGTGACTCAGAAAAAAAAGGGCAACATGTAGAGATCATATAAACCCTCTGTTTCCCATTCAGCTCAAGGTTATCTGCTCTTTTATTTACAGTTTCATAGGTAATTAAAGGCTAGACACCACTAACTTTGACAATACACTTTCATATGAGTGGACAGAACTGCTGAATGACAAATAAAGATGAGGAAAATAGAATCCTGATTTAATTAGATATCATTTCCTTCAGAAGGGTTCCCTAATCTCTGGGATTTGGAGTAAAGATTCTTATACTATAAACTCACACCTTGAGGCATGGGGCCCTTGCCTATTTGTAACTTTCTAGAACAGGAGTCTCTGCTATAAATCTGTCTCAAAAGCATCACTATAATGAGATTAATGATATTACTCGCATTTTTGAGGGCTTATCTCATATGATCTTCCCAATATCCCTCTGAGCTAAAGTACTATAATTTCCACTTTATAATTGGGAAAACTGAGAATCAGAGAGGTTATATAACTTGTGCCAGGTTGTATAGCTAAAAATAGCAGTGCTACGATTTGAACCCAAACCCTTTGTTTCTTCAAGTTACTACATGGCCACAGGAGGGGGTGGGCAGAGCATCATCTCCTTATTCCCTAAGCCTTTCCTTCAATTGCCATCCTCAGTGACTCTTCATCATTTCTAGATATTTCCTATGGAAGAAAATCAAGATGTTGAATTATATGTTTTTGAAAAATAGGAGCCCCAGAAATCTGTTTTTCCCCAAGAGGAAAAAATTCTAGAACTAGATTTAAAGGCGAATATGAACTATAGGCTCTACAGTAAGGGCAAAAGCAACATACATTTCTGAAGATGATCCATTCACTGTGGCAGTACTGCAAGGTGCCGCCTAACTCAGGGGTTAATTGCTTGTCATCAATGTATGTCAGCAAATCACTAACTGAGCTCAGCATAACCACCTATATAAATAAGTAAGAAAGATACTGTTAACTGCCCTTCATGGCAGCCCTCCATTCAACCGTACAATGAACTTTAGCATTCATTAGCACAAAGTTATCTTTTATAAATGGTTCTAACAGTTCTCTCCTGTACATCCCCCCCCACACGTATGCACTACTTTCTTTAAGTAATCAGTTTTCATTTACAAAACATTTCTCTGTAAAGCAAAATTAATCTCCATAGAAACCCAAATACCTAATTCTCCTTGATCTAAAATTTTGCACTGTTAATGGCCAACCTTCTGAAAGAATGTTACACTTACACCAAAGTAAAAGGGCTTTAATGTGGTAAGTTAGAACTTATGAGGAGGGACTAATCTTTGCAAAAATATCATAATTTATGAGGACTCTATTCCTTACCCTAAAAACGTATAAAAATAGCTTTTTAAAAAAAAAAGATCATGGTACTATGAACTAGCTCAGGATGTAAGTTCATGGGGGTCAAATACATAAAACACACACTCAATTTTTTTTTCTAAAAATAAAATGTCCTGATTTTATACACACACACACACACACACACACGCATATACACACACACATAACGTATGTGACATAGATCTTTTTCAAAAGAAATTGCTTATTACAAACTGATTAGACTATTCCTTTATTTTAACAACAGAAGCAGAAGACTTTTAGGCATTTCAAATTTATAGTTTTGGGAAGACAAATTCTATCTTTTTCTTTTAAATGCTCTGTGAGCACAGGTAAAACACCAACAGCACGGTACAAAGTCTTCATGAGAACTAAAGAGAGAAAACATTTAAATAATATACTCTTACTGGTAATTTGAGCATGAAGTCTTCCTGGCTAAATCGAAATCCAAGGTCTGTGAAAGTTCGTTGAAGAAAACTAGTAGGACGCAGAACCAAAACCAAGTGCAAGTTCCCAGGAAAGGAAACCTGCAGAAAGAAGAAACACAGGAAAGAAAGAAAAAATTGTCAAAACATGCACTCAACTGAGCACGTAGCAGAAAATATGTAATTAAAGGAAATGACTTTGAAAGTAATAAAGGCCACTAAAAGGACAAAACTTTAAAAATGGATATTGATATAATCTAAAAACATGGAAACAGAAATAAAACTAGTGTAAGGTCATCAGATCAGACCCTCGCAACGTCCATGACATGGAATTTTCTCACACTACAGTAAATCCCAAGTTACAAAGAATTCTATTCTTGAACTTCATTTTAAAGTTAGTCATTTGCACTTGAATTGCATTTATTCCCTGGGAAACAGAATTAGGAGGCAGGCTCCTGGGATAACCCTAAAAGCCAAAGGGAGCTTCAACACTGTGTACCTGCCGTAAACGTTGGAAGAAACCTGTTTCTGTGGAATCCTATTTTTATTTTCATCCAAGCAACATTCACTGAGTATCATCTACGTGTCCGCTCCATGTAGTTAAGTGCATGATTATCATGCAGTTAGCATTCACTGTGCCCAAATTAATAAGATGTAGTCCCTCCCCAGCTTTCAAGAAAATGACAGTCTAATAGTGCAGTCCATCAGTAACTGTTAGCTCTATAACCCAAGTTGGTAAGTGAAATGAAGGAATTATAGAATAATATGCAACAGGAAGTGGTAGCACAGAGCATCCTAGACCTAGGAAGGTCAAAATGGTCTCTTCGAAGCATAAAAAGGAATTAATTGGATCAGAATGTCATTGTGGAGCACCAATGTTTCCCCCAGTTTCTAGAATACTGACAGGCAGTAGGTGGTCAAGGCATAACTGCTACAAGACAAGGAGAGCACTATGTAAAATTAGTGAGAGAGAGAACAGTGTGGCCCAATATTAATAATAAACCACCACATATCAAATGCTCACTGTGTCAAGTATTTTGCCAACATTATCATAGAGCTTCTTCATAATAATCCTGTGAAGTAGTTAGGCCATCCTCTTTTACAAATAAAGAAAGTGAGGCTCAGAGACTTTAAGTATAACTTGCCCCAGCTGGTGAGGTCTTAATCTGCACCCGAGTCTGTGCTCTTAATCACCGTGCACTGCCCCAGCTCTTCAAGAGGTCCCAGTCAGGAAAGGTAGAGGAAAGTGATGTGGGGGAGTGTGGCAATGGGATGTGGTGTTAAAAAGATGGGCAGGAGCCAGATCAGGAAAGACCTCGGGTTTTTCCCTGGGGGAAAGGGGAGACTCGAAGAGGTTTTAGGCAGCAGAGCAAGATAATCAGATCTGCATTTTAGAAGGATCACTTTGGCTTTAGGAAAGGACTGGATTTGGACAAGAGTGGAAACAGCCAGATGAGCTAGGAGGCCGGTCCAGTAATCCAGACCAGGGCTGATGAGTTTAGGAGGTGCAATCTGTAAGACATGATGACAGAATGTGTCTGATAAGAAAGGAGAGACTGGGCCAGTCAATAACCAATCGCTCGAGTAATGGGGTACATGGCATGACCCTTGCTAACACGGGGAATGCAGGAGAAGCAGGGTTTTTTTTTTTAAGTTTATTAATTTTTTTTTTTTTTTTTTTTTTAGTAATCTCTGCACCCAACATGGGGCTCAAACTCACGACTCTGAGATCAAGAGTCGCACGCTCTTCCAACTGAGCCAACCTGGCGCCCCAGGAGAAGCAGGTTTTCAGGAGGGGACAAGATACTGATTCCCCATTCCTGGACACAAGGGGCTGGAAGGGTCAGCAGGACATTCAGATGATGTCCATCAGACAGATGTGTGAACAAGTCCAGAGGGAAAGAAGTCTGGCCTGGGAATGCTGAGCTGGAAGTCATCAGCCCCCAAACAGCGGGTTAAAGCAGAACAAAGACAAACATGACAAAAATGCTTAAAATAGAGCCATCTTTCAGGCATGCTGCAATATTAATAACAGAACAAAACTATAAAACAAAAATTAATAAGATACGGTGGAGACAGGGTTATATGGGAACGCTGCACTTTCTGTGCTCGATTTGCTATGACCCTAAACCTGCTCTAAAAAATAAAATCTCATAACAAAAAGAGTAACTTTCACTCAGGTAGAAGACCTAGACTCTCGGGTAAAACACATTTAAAACTGGGAATTTTGCGGGGGGGTGGTGCCTGGGTGGCTCAGTCGGTTAAGCCTCTGACTCTTGATTTCAGATCAGGTTATGATCTCAGGGTCTTGGGACTGAGCTCCATGTCGGGCTCTGCACTCGGCGCAGAGTCTGCTTTTCTCCTTCTCCCTCTCCCTCTGCCCCTCCTCCCGCTCTCTCTAAAATAAATAAATAAACCTTTAAAAAAAAAAAAAACTGGGGAGGGGCACCTGGGTGGCTCAGTCAGTTAAACGTCTGCCTACAGCTCAGGTCATGATCCCAGAGTCCTGGGATCGAGCCCCGCATTGGGCTCCCTGCTCAGCGGGGAGCCTGCTTCTCCCTCTCCCTCTGCCTCTCCCCCTGCTTGTGCTCTCTCTCTCTCTCTCTGTCAAATAAATAAATAAAATATTTTTTTTTAAAAAACTGGGGATTTTTTTCTCTCAAAAAAAAAAAAACGGGGGGTGCCTGGGTGACTCCATCAGATAAGTATCTGACTCCTGATTTCGGCTCAGGTCATGATCTCAGGGTCCTGGGATCAAGCCCTGCGTCGGGCTGGGCACTGAGTCTGCTTGGGATTCTCTCTCCTTCTCCCTCTGCCCCTCCCGCTTGTGCGCTCTCTGTTTCTCTCATTCTCTCCCTCAAATAAATAAAAATCTTCTTTAAAAATTTTAAAAATTAGGGGCACCTGGGTGGCTCAGTTGGTTAAGTGACTGTCTTCGGCTCGGGTCATGATCTCAGGGTCCTGGGATCGAGCCCTGCATCAGGTTCCCTGCTCAGCAGGAGGCCTGCTTCTCCCTCTCCCACTCCCCCTGCTTGTGTTCCCTCTCTGGCTGTGTCTCTCTCTGTCAAATAAATAAATAAAATCTTTAAAAAATAAATAAATAAACAAAAATTTTAAAAACTAAAAAAATTTCAATTTGAGGGTGCCTGGCTGGCTCAGTTGGTGGAGCATGGGACTCTTGATCTCGGGGCTGTGAGTTCAAGCCCCACACTGGGTGTAGAGATTACTTAAAAATAAAAAATCTTTAGGGGCACCTGGGAGGCTCAGGTGGTTAAGTGTCTGCTTTTGGCTTGGGTCATGATCCTGAAGTCCTGGGATCAAGCCCTGCATCAGGCTCCCTGCTCAGCAGGGAGTTTGCTTCTCCCTCTGCCCCTCACCCCACTTGTGTTCTCTCTCTCTCTCTCTCTGAAATAAATAAATAAAATCTTTAAATTCAATTTGAGACAGTAATAAAACATCAACATTTAAGTGGTAATGAGAACCAGAGCAGGCAAGAGGACTGAGTGTGAGACTCACAAATAGGTGAAAGAAAAGAGGCTAAAATTAAATCAATAAATTAATCAGTGATTCTAAATAGACACAAATGGTACAACTCATTACTCCCCCAGATGGCCATGTGTGTGCCACCCTCTCCCTTCATGAGAAACCTTTTCCCCTCTGCTATATACTAAATGGTTATGTCCTCCAAAATTCATGTTGAAACCTAGCCCTCAGTGTGAGGGTATTAGGAGGTGAGGCATTAGGGAGGTGATTAGGTCATGAGGGCGGAGCAAGCATAAGGGCTTTAGTGTCATAAAAGAGACCCCAAGGGCGACTGGATGGCTCAGCCATTAAGCTTCTGCCTTCGGCTCAGGTCGTTGATCCCAGGGTCCTGGGACCGAGCCTCGTGTTGGGCTCCCTGCTCCACGAGAAGCCTGCTTCTCCCTCTCCCACTTGTGTTCCCTCTCTCGCTGGGTCTCTCTCTGTCAAATAAATAAAACAAAATCTTAAAAAAAGAGAGAGAGAGACCCCAGAGAGACCCCTTCACCCCTTCTGCCACGTGAAGACGCAGAGAAAAGACAGCCGTATCTGAACCAGAAAGCAGGCTCTCACCAGACACCGAATCTGCCAGCACCCTGATCTTGGACTTCCAGCCTCCACAACTGTGAGAAATAAATACCTGTTGTTTATAAGCCAGGCTATGGTATTCTGTTATCGCAGCCCAAACGGACTGAGATAGCCTCTTACTAGTGTATTAGTAGTGGGATGAAAAGCTGATGTAAGGAGGACCCAAGTCCCACCCTGGGATTATTCAAACTGGTGCTGCGGGAGGAAAACTTGGGAGGGTGCAGTTCCAGAACTACTGGCGGCCACAAGCCCTGCGGCAAGAGGAAGCTTATCTCAAAGAACACAGCTAACATGGAAAGAGAACCAGAAGTAGAGACAGAGAGCCCCAATGGGATATAGCCTACCCTAGAGTATGTACATAATGTGTATTTTATTTTATGCTAAACAGGGTACATACTTCCTATAGTTATTGTAGGGATTAAAATAAATAATGAATATAAAGGCATTCTGTAAACCCTAAAAAAATAGGAGAGTTTTTAAATTTTGCCTTGGATTCTTGGATCTAACAGCAAGTGGGTTTAGGTGGAAAACTTGTAGGATATCGATAAAGGCCTGCTGATGGGGAATCTCTGACAGAGACTTGTAAGAACTCTGGACCTATTTTTAGATTGAGAGCACAGATTCTACTTCTATCCCATTCACTTTAGGAGTGAAGCCTTTCCTTCTTCTTCAAATAGGTAAATTACCAGAATCATTATTATACTTACCTATCTTGACCCAGCTTGCCTTTTCACTTTTTTTTTCCTCTTAAATGAAATTGAAAGCACCCTACCTTTGCCAACACTTCAAGCAAAATTTGTTTTATTCTTTCATGGACTCTAGGTTGACCTGGTCTCATCATCTTTTTCTCTCTGACTTTCCTTAACATCATATTCTCTGGTATCACATAGGAAATCTCTAGATGCAAGGCCCTAGGACTGACCAACTTGAAGCCTGGAATACTCACCCACCTCCCAAATTGTCAGGGGGTGCAGAGCAAAAAAGCAGGGTGAAGA